TACACATATCTGTAAAAAGAAGTATCGCGTACCAAATATTCATAAAAGTGTTGATTGATGTCAACAAGATGATTAGTCACTTCAGGTTGTATTTTCTCTGTCGAATCTTTTGTAGTAGATTCCATAAGAATATCTTGCAGATTGTGATGCCAGGAAGCCATGATCGCAAGTGTCGTTTTACTCGATATGAAGTCGTTTTGCGATCTCGATTACGTATTATTTTTTTACGAACAATATTATTCAGCCCTTTTTATCTTTCACAATAATTAATATATATTATATATAGATCTCAATCTTACATCGCTTTTATAAGTTCACATATATCACACTCGAGATATACTTGCGTGCGTGTAAACTGTGTCTTTGTAATCCAGAAAAACAATTTAATATTGACACGTCTTCCAGATATCACAGCCACATTATTTATTTGATCGTTGATGCGAAAACAGGAACAAAAAAAGTCAATGTTTTAACAATTTAACAAGTCTTAACAATTTAAATTAATTTATTCGAAATTTCTTCCGAACTCGCAATATTTGATCGAGTATACCCAAAATTTCACAGCTGGCTATTTTGTAAGAGAACTTGGCGAGTGTTCTGCTCGAGTTAAAGCTTCACGTACGTATTCCCGACAAAATTTAATCGCAATGATCTGAAAGTCACCAATCGAAGACGACTGATAATCAGGACCAATCAAAGTTTCTATCTATGTGATTCCGATCTATTAACTGAGTTATTGCAACCATGAGTTTGACTGATACATAAAATAAAATAAAAAATTAAAGTTTTTATAGGCTTGAACGGAACATCTCGTTTTTGAAAATACACACACACAAAGTTAAAATAATATTAAATTTCATTATGATACTCTCTAAAAGTGAATCAGTGTATTATTACTGTAATTAGTGCTGTACTTATAACTGCTTGTAATCAGTGAGTATATATTGTCTTTCAATTATAATACACTGATTCACTTTAGACTGAATCTTTGTTTGTGTCATATAGCTTATTCAATTAAACTTTATCCGCGACAGTTGTATATGTGACAGTTAATATCCATATTAAATATTTCAATACAATAATGTACAAAATCCTCATAATAATAAATAAGCCGTACCATTTTATTACGTTTAAAACAAATATAATAGCTTTAGCAAAACCAAATTCGTCTAATTTCAATCACATGTACAATCGTAATTGATCGATTGATTTTAATTTTTACCTATCCTGCAAAGTATCTAAGTAAAGTTATTAGAGTTTAGCTTTATCATTGATTACAGTCTCAATTTTCATCTCGAAAAGGTTTCGTTTCGATTTAATCGTTTGGTTAAAAGTTATAACTTTTTTTATCATATTGATGCACTTTGAGCATTTCGCTTTGTACATTGTTGTAAAAATAAATGAATAAAGCAAAAAAAAATATAAAAATATAATTTGAAAATTTATTATTCTATTGAATTATTTTATATACACATAAAATAATTCAATAGAATAATAAATTTTTAAATTATATTTTTATATTTTTTTTTTGCTTTATTCATTTATTTTTACAACAAAAATATTATGTGATTTTGTCCTTGAAAAAGGACAAAATCACATAATATTTTTGAAAAGTTAATTTTTTCTATTTTTTAATTCTGAATACTTTTTATACATATTATTAACAATGCATATTTTTATGGTAGATAAAATAAAATATATTTTTATCGTAGATAAAATAAAATATACACAACTTTTATAATATATCTATTAAAAATAATTGTAAAATGATTACATTGGCATTATTAATTTTGACAGTAACAATATTACAATATGTGCACGATTTTTCTATAACTCTTCATCGCTTGTATCACAATTTAATGATCGTAAATACTTTTAAATATGGATAGAAGGAAAATGAAATGGTAGATGATTATAAATAATCTGTTCACTTGTGTTTCAAATTTTTCATATTACAGTTTATACATACACATACATTTATATCTAATAGATAATGAATAATTATTTTATACCAATTCGAATATATAACTAAACGTTTAATATTTTTGTTAATTTTAATATAAACTTTATTGTTAATTCATTTCCTATTACAGACATCAAATTACAGATTTTAATATTTGCGGCATATATATTATACATATATGATGACGTACCACTGATATCTTGCGTGCTGCAAGCATTATATATGTTTGGCATCAATATAAAACTTTGGAAGACTTAGATGTCTTCGAATTACAAGAATAAATGGCTTTTTATATTAAAAAGTCAATGTAATAATTAGAAAAATTAAAACATGTCATTTGTTCTAAATTTTCAAATAAAATAATCAGTATCTGTATTGAATTTAATCTGACTCCATCAAACAAAAATTTTAAACTCTAAATTCGACAAAGAAATTAAGTTAAGTCGAAATCAATTTGTTGAATCTAATTCAGTACAGAACATCTAATATTTTATTTTTATTTATTTAGCATTTTGATTTTAATTTGTATATCATCCACTTGTTCATTTCTTTCTCTCTTCTTTTTTTAGACCCATTATATAATTATCACAAAAAATTGTTAGATATTCATTTTTTACCACCACTACGCCATTATAATTATAAATATGATTATAATTTTCCAGTTCCAAATCCTTCCTGTACATTGTGATAGCATGAGTAGTTCGCTCTCTACTTTTTGCAATATTCAGTCGAAATCATTCTGTTATTTCTATTGTAATGATTATTTAACACTCAACATATCGTTGAATATATCGTATTATGTTTTTCTTATGTAGAGTACAATATAGTTGCATCTATCGGGCACGTTGTGTTTCATAATTTGCTCAATAAAAATAATTATCATTAATCATTAACTCTTTGAATTTATGATTAGTATCTAGTTATTAAGTTCTATCTTATGTTTTATAACATTTGTATGATAATTATGAAATACTTTATATGTGCATTACATAAACACATATCGAACATTATATAAACACATTCATCTTAAAAGAAACATTTTTTTATTATTATCATACAATACATTAAAAACTAGAAATATTGTAAAAAAATTGCATAAAACTTTTGCAAAAGACAGAAAACGTGATAATGTTTACTATTACTATTTAAATTTAAATGAAACTCATCAACTTTTTATTATATTATAACTCAACCGCTTTGTTATCGTATATGTATTTCTCGTTCGCGCGTGAATGTATATTTTTAACCAAATGAATAAATGAAAATACAAAAATGTGTATATATTATATATATATACACTTCCTTTCTTGGTATTGCTTCCATTGATTCCATTTATGTACAATTAGTATTTGTATATTTATTTCGATACACATCACTTTTTTACGTCGATTACTTTAAAATCTAATGTTTCTATAATTACATTAAAATATTGTTTTTATATTGAAACTATATCACAGTTATGTTTGTGGGAAAAGACAAGGATTTAAAAAAAAAGCCATTCAAATAATCGAAATTGAAACATAGTCCATTCAGTAAGAATTATGAAATATGCAGTAAACACTAGATCTGTTAACTATAACGAATGATAAACGAGATGATAATGATAATGATCGAATTATCAAAATGTATCGAGTCGTTTAACCCTTTGCACTTTACAGATTTTCGCGTAATGTTTGTTGTATTCATGCTGTTACATAAATTGTTCACACACTGTAAGAAATATAAATGTCTTGTAGTTATAAAGCTATCATTTTCCAAATAATAAACAAAAGAATGGCATAAACCCAGCATAAACGCACATACTTGTAACAATCATTTATCCGTGGTAGAGGCACGTGTTTTATCTGTGTATGGCATTGTTTTTAATCAACAAATAATCGCTAGAAGATACAATATTTGTATACTTGAAAAAAATATAAAATACGAATGGTTGAATTGAGAATCGAATTCGAGTCTTCACCCGCATTACTTGAAATTTTGTTCCAGTATGTTACACAATCATGTAATATATATTACATGGAATATTTTTGCATATTGTTCAAATTCGCATAGCCCTTACAGTACATATGTTCTAATAATTCTCTATATTCCCATAGTTATCGGAGTTCTACTATGTTATGGAGTGTTCCTATAAATTCATAATTCATATCTTTAACTGTAGAAGTATGAACTATCTGAATATTCTCATTACAATAATAATATAATCTGAATATTCTCATTACAATAATAATATGATTGATTGAATATGGTTGGGAATGTATTGGTTATGAATCTAAAACGTGATTATTCTACGTAATAGGTAGTCAATATCATTCTATTCTAAATTCAATATTCAAGTTGGCAGTAAAAACAAAATTTTATGTAATATAATAAAATTATACAATGAAAGAAGTTGATAAATAAATTATTGAAAAATAAGTTCTTCCCATTTAATCTCACTAACTGTACTCTGTCATCTGTATACGCTTTGTACTATCGTCGTAATTTGTTTTTATTTAATCATTATTATGTTATTATATGCTGTATTTTAATTTATCGCGTATAATGCCAAATAATTGTCATATACACATATATATATACATATATATATATATATATATATATATATATATACATATAATGTTATGTAAAATAAAACATCTATTTTACATCTATATTTAAATGCCATAACTTTTAATTAATAATGTTGGTAATAATGATAACGATAGTATAATTAAGAAATTATAAAATAAGAATACAGATAAATGATTTAAAACAGAAGAATCTTGTGTATTTATGAAGTTGTAAACATATTTCAAAGTTGCAACTAAAACTTATATATAAGCTACAGACAAACTGTGTCCAATCGTATTACATCATAACATGATTGCTTTTAGCAGAATTATCTAACACAGCCGATAGCTACGTAAAGATATTTAAAATATAATTGAATAAAAGTTCTGTTGCCCATAAAATACGAATTTGTGATAAAATCATACTACCATCAACCAAAAGAATAATGCAAGAATTAAAATGTCGCAATTTGGATATTTTCAACATATTCGAATATAAAAACAGCTCTAAAAGCCTCTGTAGTTGACAGATCTCTGATTCCCAACCTTATCCTGTCTTTTAAAAGATTGATAAATATTTTTTCATAATAGTTAAGATGGACAGAATTTTTAAAAAAATTACTTACAATTTTACATTTAGCATCTATCATATATGGTACACATAAATTGATGGGATATAAATTGATTTTACAATAAATGCATAGCTTTATTTAAATATTTAAATTTACCAGTCTTTGATGGAGCCTAAAAAATACCGATAAAAGACGTCAACATCGTCGTGAATGGAAAAAGTACTCATAATACATACTTCTATAGTCAAAGATAAATATTCTATACAACTTATCAATTTGTGTTGTTGGAACTTTTTTTAACTTATACGGCAAGAAAGATTTCAGCTTTATTTAGCTTACTAAACGGATTATAAGCCTCGAATAAAAATATTTATTCTCAAGATAAAAAAAATGTAAAACGTGAAAGTGAAAGAGAAAGAGAGAAAGAAAGAGAAATAGAGTAACACTTAACTAGGTCCAGGAGAGGTATTGAAATTAGACACGGTAGATGAGGGACGTTCTGGTAAACTCAATTCTGGTGATAACCTCGGTCTTGCGAATCCTGAAATACAATAATTAAAATCAAATTATGCACAAATTTGTAAAAGAGAAAAATTGATAAATGGCGTTATCTTACCGTTAGGCTGCGACGATAGTATGTCTCTTCGTGGTGGTAATGGGGGTGGGGATATCTGAGCATCTCTCGGTGGAAGAACTGGTGCGTTTGGCGCTTGTCCTACCTATGTTTGTTTGAAACTAAATTTCTTAGACTTTCTCCATCAATAATGTACAATAATGTATTTATAATGATTATTTATATTTAATGAATTTCGCGATGCAGATATGTTTACCTATGCATGTAGAAATATCTTTAATAAATTTAATGCAAAATTAATAATATCTATATTTATCAAAGAATCCGATACTGTATAATACACTATCATTTACTATATATTATTCAACAATATTAACAAAATCATATTTGACAAATGCTAAATAAAAAATAATAACTTGATTATATTTAAAATACGTTTCTATAAAAATACGTTTCTATAAAAATAAAATTTAAATTTGTATTCAAATTCTCATTATATAAAGATACTTCAGTGTTGAATTGCGATATTAAATAATGCGAAAACTCATTAAATTAAGCCTCTACTTAATTTTAGAACCTTACTTGTTGCGATGATTCGCTAAATGAACTTTTTCGACTTCTGCTGGGTTTAGGTGGTAGAGGTGGTCGAAGTTGGCTAGGGGATATGTTACCAGGAGATGGTGGCGTTGGTATTCTATTGGGACTTCTTCTTGATGATACAGCACTCACTGTGTCGGTATTAAAGTCAAAGTGAGTAAAGCGATTGAAAGTCCCGATTAGGGGGATCACCTAGTCCGCCTAGCCCCGACTAGGACTAGTCCATACTAGGCGGACTAGGTGATCCTGAAGGTACAGTTCCAGAAGGTTCTATGAGGTCAATGAGCAAGAAAAGATTTAATAATCGCAATCATTATTAAATCCAGCACATTTACTCAAATTTTGTAAAAAAACATTTCTGAAAATTTTCTGATTTTTCATATATTTTTGTTCAAAATTCAAAATAGATAAAGAAAATATTTTAGATTTCTGCAATTTGCTAAAATAAGTTTTTTTTTAGTTTTCTAGTGTTTTTCAATCATATAATAAAAATAGAGAGCTCCTAAAGTTTTAACTGATAGATTTGTAAATATATTGAAAGAAACTAAATAACTTTAAGATAAGAACTTTTACATAAGATTTGACATAAGACTTACATTTTTTTTATCACTAAACACTATAAATATGCGCTTTAATATTTTGATAAGACGTATATATATGAAGAAATATATATTTATAATATATTTTAAACACATAATTCACACATACTCGATTTGTCAATTGTTTATAATAAAACAAAATTATATTATAATGTATATCATATATTATATTTATATATTATAAAAGAAAATTTTTTTTAATTTCTAATAAATCCTACATTATCATAAAATTTTATGAGAATTCCCAAATGTTTCCATCTTACAAAAAAATCTTTAAGAATTTTAGATTTTCTACGTTTTTCCAAGAAATAGACACCTTATCAAAATTTAAATACTAATGTATACCTAATATGACAGGTGCAAAAATGCTGTGGTCCCCTATGTGCGGAACTGTAACTTGTGGTGCATGTGGTGGTGTTTCCGGTAATTCAAGAGGCGGTGGAGTTTCTGTCGGAGGATCATGCCATTTTACGCTGGACACTACCGTTTGTAATGGAGTTGGCGATTTTCCGCTCAAACTTCTACTAGTTTTAATTCCCGGTGATTTCAATTTTATCTCGGGCCATTTACGTGGCTGTTATAGTAATAATATATGAAAAAGCTGGGAAAGAATATAATTATATGCAATTAATTATATAAAACGCTTACGAATTGTGGAGGTGCTTTACATTTGTTGGGCTCTATCTCTAAACTTTTGCTATACAGATAATTGCTTATATTTGCTTCTGACATATTAGGGTCAAAAGGGCACATATTTTCAATATATTGTCTTATTTTAGACTCCACAGAAAGACAATAAGGTTTATTTTGGTACAGCTGTATTTCACCAATTATTTCTGCCACTTTTCGCCATTTATTAAAATTGATAAGATTCGGGTTTTCCGGTAAGTAATCTCGATTTCCTTCTTCAAGATGCATAATATTAATCAAATATATACCTGAGAATGCATGAAAAAAAGATTTAAATCTTTTCCTAATCATAAAATAATCATTGTCACTTTGTGATACTTACTTAAGAATGGTACACAAGGTGGATCGATCAGTTGTAACACTTCTTTATATTTCCGAACGTAATTATTACTAAGCTGTCGCGCTTTTGTTAAAGCCTCTTGTAATTCTACTGATAATTGCTATGAAAATAAACACATGTTAGGAGGAAAATGACAAAAATATCTTGATAGATATATGTATAAGCGTAAACATATGTATATCTAAATAAATCATACATATTTGGCATTTAAGGTAAAAGTACCAGTGGTTTAACATGTCCCAGTGTTTAAACAATGCAGTAAATATCTATTATTATTAAGCTTTCTAGTGCATAGTTACAAAATTATGAATATTTAATTTGCATTTTTAAATATTTATTTAAAAAAAGAAACAAAAAGATTAAAACGTAAAATGATTTGTAAACAAAAAAAAATTATTTTTCTAAGTAGTAGTTGTCTATTTTCTCAATGGTTTCTTAATAATTTGGTTAAGACACGCCGTTTACTACTTTAGAATGTATTTCCTATAAATTATGTTTTTGTAAAATGTAAAAGTTATTTAGATTCTTAAAAGAACGTATTGTTAAAGTAAAATATTTATTTTATTGAGTAAATTTATTTAAATATAATAAATTTAATGTTAATTTATTGGTACATAAAAATTTAGGATTGCCCTAATTATTGACCACTCGTTTATTTATCGTATCACTACACTAAAAATGCTTGTACTAGTAGTGAGATGCACATAGAGAGATAACACGCACAACACGAATAAGAAAGTCTTTTCGTTAATTATTATTTTTTAGTAAGTATTTTTATATTTTAAATAATCTATAATTAATTTAGTAATAAACTTAATAACTAATATACATTTATGTCGTAATAATAAATGAGAAGTGTGAGAAATCATGTTGACACACAAATAACCTTATTAATTATAACATTTATTATAATATTTTTATATGCTTATTATATTAATCTAATATCGTTAATTATCTAAAAAATATATTAATATTTGTGTTCTTTTATGCTAAATAAAAAATATATAAACTTATTCTTTTTATATATAAAAATTAAAATTTGGTACGTACATAAGTGTTCTATTTAATTTTAATTAAATAAGTAGTTTTAATTAGTTTTATTTAATTTTAATTAAATAAAAATAAACATTTATTTAGACATGTTCATAAAATGTTGCTTATAAAAAGCAATTAAATATAAAATCATTTCTATAGTCATAAGTTTATAATGTTTAAACACTGGGACAGTTTCATTCAATTATAAGGACAGATGCGTTTTTACTGTTCAAATACTTAGGCATTTACATAGTTCAACATGTTTTGTACTTTTATATAATAAAGTTAATAAAAATAATTGTTTATGTGCTATTTAAATAATAGAAGCATCAATTTATAAGATAAATGGAAATTCTTGAGAAAAATTTTTGTTTTTATGTAATAAAAGTATTAATAAGTGCATTTGTATTCTTAATCGTTCAACCACTGGTACTTTTACCTTAAAGCTTTTTTTAATTTTGAGAATTTTGCCAAATCTGCGTTTTTTTTTGCTTATTATACGTACTTGAAACGTAAATTTTAGCCTAAAAACGGAAGCCGATTCCAAAGCGCTGACAATCGCCAAGACGCCATTAAAATTGTTGAGATCCTGTAGCACCACCATTATTTCAATTGCACGTGATACAATGGCTACTCTTTCTTTAAAATTTTGAGCATCCACTATTATTTTCTCCAGCCATCTTGTAAACTATCAAAATGCAATATAAAAATTCAAATTATTGCAATATATGATATACTTTCGTAATGATTTGAAACACAAAAGCTTACATTTGTCGTGTGTCTTATCATTTTCAATAAATTCGGTGACCTTTCGTTTTTGTCATCCTTTGTCCATACACATCCCACTAACTCAAAAGACTTTACTGCACTGTACAATTCAAACTCCAATAATGTTAATTGTCTCGCTAATTCGACAGGATGTATCTATAATCGACAACTTATTTCTCAGTATGAATGATTTAGTGACTGATAACTTTCCTTAAAGAAATCACAACGTTAAAAAATATCATATACCGTAAGTATTCCATAATTTTCGTTATTTTCTGGAATTTTAAGATGTGTTTCAATCGGTGGAGGACGATTCTTAAAATGTAATGTGATAGGTTTTGATGATTTGTGCTTTCTTTCTACAATTTTTAATAATAAATTAACCCATTTCTGTACAGATGTGCCATTAATTGTTTGTAAAAATGATTGCAATGTTTCTAAAAGTTTTCCATCACGTTCGAAATCGTAAAAATAATAATCCATCTAATGAAAAACAATAAATACTTTAGAAAACAGTGTTTTAAACATTGCGTGAAATTCATAGAAAATGAGAAAAATATATATGTATTACTAACCCAATGTCTTAAAACATTTAAAACTCTAAACTGCACCGGATAACAGAACTCCATTTTGTATCTTTTCCAATCTTCTCTCTCTGTCGTTTTACATGTAGATGTTTCTTTTTCATCATTAAACAACGAAGGATCTGGTACGTCAAACCTTTCTTTCAGTAATGTCAATAATTCATGAGGTGAACAAAAACTTCTATAAAATGAATTATTAAAAATTAGAAATTTGTTATTATATATTTATTTATAATATATCTGCTGTTATTTACCTGTAAGTAAGAAGGAATGTTTTTACAGAAGTTGGATCAGCGTATGTATAATGAGTCAATCTTTCTACTAATTTTATCAAAGTTGCACCCTTAATCAATGGAACGCCATTTTCTCTGGTCTCTAGGACAATATTCTCCATATCATCTTGTTCAGCAAATTTATACAAGTGCGCAGGAGGTAGCCCTAATGGATATTCCTTTTCTTCTTCCAAAAGAATACTATCCAAAGTCCTTTCTAACATACCTCTTGATTTTAACATCATTAAATCCGTCATCCAATCGTTTTTATCCTCAACAGATTTAGCAATAAGAATAACATTAGGATGTTCTCTCGATGCAATCTCGAAAGCATTTTTCAATTCTGTAAATATATATTATGCATTTGCGGTGCACGAAAATTTAATACGATATGGCAAAAAAAATTTAAATAAAAATTTAAAATTTAAATAAACATTTTTTACCTTCGATGTCTTTTCTATCAATAACATCAACTTTTCTAATAAACAATTTCTCTTCCAATCGGAATTCACGTTGATGAGTAGGATGTTTATCAAGTGCAACAATATCCGTTGCAACATTATCATTTGTATTTGGTTTACACAATATTAGTAACTCATCGAATAAAAAGACTTTTCTGTCGGTTAATCCTTGTCCATTATTAGCCACTTTCTTCAATGTATCCTCTATAAACAAAAACTATCGATATATAAACGTTAACAAGTCTGAAGATAATGTTTGATTATTATCAACTCATGGAATTAAAGAATGATTTATTTATCATTACCTCTAATAAATTCACCGTAACAGCACTGCCCAATATCTTTTTGATCCCAGCCGTGTACACTTTTTTGTATTTCCCTAATTTTTTTTATTGCCGCTTTTCTTCTCGCTCTACACTGTATTAACAATCTCGTTTCTTTTTTTGGAACACTCGTCACAGATTTCGTCAATTCCATTTGTAACGGTCTTAGCAAATCTTGTACTTGTCTCAGAGTTTCGCCCTCTTCCATGTTAGGGGTGTGCTCACATAAAAGCTGTGATTTAAAAAAGATGCAAGGTAAAATATTGTTTCGAAATAAGCGTAAACAATCTTGTACACATATCTGCAATATACTTCCTTGTACACGTATATATGCAATGAGTAAAATATAATAAATAATACCTCTATGTAATTAAAATACTTGAAGCAATGCCATATAGGTTGCAATAAAAGGTCTGGCAAATAACATTTAACAGCTTCTTTAATACTATAGCCTGTTTGTAAGACTACATTAGCTTCCAATCTTGATAATAAATTTATTAAAAGTTCCCGATTAGCTGGGCTATTAATATCTCTTGCGTATCTAACAAAATATTATTAATAAAAAATGTATATACATGAAATATATCGTGTAATATATGCGGTACATACTTTATATAAATATCGAATTCTGTCGTTTTTGCTAATGCTTCAAAGCATGAACCAATTCTAGGCATTTGTCCCTCTTCTGCAATTTCCATTAATTCACAATTGTCTTCTAAACTGCCGAGTAATATCATAGTAAGTTTATAAATATCTATAATATTACTAAAGAGCGTCTCGAGTTCATTTTTATCTCGCGCCACTTTCATAATTTCTTCACGAAATACCTAAAATGTAAATTAATTTATTTATCGTAAATTAATTAACTTTTTCAATATAATCAAGTATATTTAATATATTACTTTGATAATCATATGCAGATCACGAATATAATGCCGTTCATCATGAATAAGATCTTGCACAATTTCCTTATAAATCTTTTTCTTATACTCAATTGTCTGATACTCATCTTGCGAACGTAGTTTCAACATCGGCAATTGCTATCGATAGATTATATCATTATTATAAATAATAATCTTTGATATTATTCTTTAAACATTTACGTAAAAGAGGAAAAGAGAAGAATAAAATAGAATATATGTATATATATATATATATATATATATATTTATATATATATGCACGCACATACGCATACGCTCTTATATGCATATGCGCACGCATGTACACGCATACTTACGCACATGCATACTTGCGCACGCACATACACATATATGCAAAATCCGACTAGCAACTTCCTCATGATGAGCAATGGGTAATGCTAATGCTATATCAGTATTAAACAAAAATGTATAGATATTTTAATATGCCATTATTCCGCGAAAAGCGCCATTATATCGCCCAAATTCTATTTTTTTTTAATTTATAAAGAAAAGCTCACATATTTTACGATAGTTTTCATAAAATCTGGGAGAAAATTTATTCCACCCTTTAGAGTTAAAGTGTGCAATTTTTTAAAATACAGTATATGTCTATTTTTGATAAGATTGTGGCACTTGAAGAAAGATAAATTAAAAATAATTAAAAATCTAAGAAATACTTATTATAGTAGAGGTTTAATTCTTGAGATAGAAAAGAATTATTCAGATTCGACCATTTTTAGTGGAGCTGTTTATTTATGTTTAAATTTATGTGAAATTTTGACGTGAATAAGAAATAAAAAAATAATTTTTTATTTTTATTTTTTTGTGTCCCTTATTAGTAAAAATCAAATTTGATTGTTATTTATATTCTGTATAAATTAAAAGGGCGTACTTAGTTTTATTTATATTTTATATGAACAAAATTTATCTTTACATTATATATTTTTAATCTCATTAAATTAAGTTATAAATTATATTCACTATTTGTGTTTTGGATGCAACATCTTATAGTTTCTATATAAATTCGAACAAAATGGTTTTATTGATTTTTAATATTATTTTATATAATTTATAATTTACTTTTAGATTACGTTTTAATACGATTCTAATTTTAGATTAGTAATTTATAATATTACACGTCTATGTTTCCATGCATCAACTACAATCCGCATTGATTATAGAACAAAAATTACAAAAGATATTTGCCATTAAACGTTTTAATGACATGTAATTTTATTTCCTTCATAAAGTAAAACATAATATATAGTATCAAAAGAACTACTGTTTTCCTAGAACTACTGTTTTCCTAGAATTACTGTTTTCCTGCTACTTTCCTAGAACACTAACAATTAACAAGAAACTTGGAAATAGATCTACAGAATCTGTAAAAAAGATTTTAATTGATAGTTACTGTAGTTCAGTTTCTGTAGTATAGTATTTATATTCAGTAAAGTAATATAAGTAAGTATACGCGCGCGCAAGTATATGTACATACAGTAATATGCTTGTTTGCATTTCTTATTATATATAATTAATATGATATTATATAATTTCTTTATAAATATAGATATTATAAAATATAAATGTTATAGATATTACATAAGTAATTAATAAGTTTTTAATATATATACATATATTTTTTTTAATTTCTTTTTTAATTTCATGACAAGTAAATTTTGTTATAAAACAAATTTTTAAATTTTCAAAATGTATAGGAGAAAGGAAATTTCAAAATATTCAAGAAATTTAATTACATTGTTGTAAAGTATATTCAAAATCTTGGAGGTTCAAATATTCTGCTAATTTTGCCATTCCATAAAATTACCGAATAATTTTGTCAGCGAGACGTAAGCTAATTGCAAAGAAATATAGCGTACCAAATATTCACGAAAATGTTGATTGATGTCAGCAAGATGATTAATTACTTCAAGTTGTATTTTCTCTGTCGAATCTTCTGTAGCAGATTCCTTAAGAACGTCTTGCATATCATGATGCCAGGAACTCATCGCAAGTGTTGTTTTGCTCGATATAAAGTCGTTTTGCGATCTCGATTACGAATTATTTTTGTTATAAACAATATTATACGATCCTTTTGTCTTTCACAATAACTGAAATATATTATATATCGATCTCAATCTTACTCGCTTTTATAAGTTCACATACATTACGCTCGAGATATACTTGCGCGTAAACTGCAAGCAGTAAGACTAAGCCGGTTCTAACTCTGATCCTCTCGGGGGGGGATGAGGCGCGAGGGGAACCTAGGTGCGGGGGAGTGACGTCACGTGCGGAGAAGGAGGAATTGCAGCGCTCTATGAATAATGTCACGCGCGGGGAAGGGGGATCCGCGGCGTGAGTGATGGACGAGGGGATCTGCGGCGCGATTGACGAACGATAGGATTCGCGCGGTGAAGGGGGACCGCGGAAAGAAGACGGTGCGAAGGTGTGAGAAGGATAGCGCTACGTGTGGGAAAAGGATTGCGCTAAGTGTGTGAAGAGGACAGTGCGACAAGGATGGCATCAACGTGGAACAAGGACGACGCATTGTAACATGACGCATAGGTGGCAGAAGGACGACGCAAAGGTAAGTGACGAGCATATGAAAAAGAGAGAACGATAATAGCACGTGCGAGAGAGAACAATAATAGCGCGTACGAAAGAGAGAACGATATTGCGAAGACAACGCGTGCGAGAAAGACAACGATAATATCGCGGGTCTTACAATTAGCGCGCGAGAAAAAATGATAATATCGCGAGAACAACGCGCAAGAGAGAACAATATTACGAAGTTGACGCATGTGATAGAGACAACGATAATGACTTATAACTAGCGCAAGGGATGGGAGCGCAAGGGAAAGGCGTCTAAATAACAATTTTTTGCAATTAAAATATATAAAATTTATCGCGCAATAATCGAGGCACTCAAATAGCGTTGCCTTTTTCAACGCGGAATTTATTGATGCGGAAGCAAGCAGACGTTGAACAATTTCCCAATCGGCTGCTCCCCCCTTCTATTAAAGATTGGAGATCTAATGCTCGAAATGTATCAATCAAAAATTGTAAAACTCGCATTATGCGAAAAATGTGTTATGTAATTACATAATTGTGTGTGTGTGTGTATGTGAAAATAATATAATAATAATAATAAGAATAATAAAATAATAGTATAAAATATAAAATATAAAAATAAGGGGTGAAGGGGATGATGCGCCGGGCTAAGAGGGAGGCCGCTTTTAAAACCATAAGGTGACGATGCGCCGGGGCTAAGGGGGAGGCCACTCCTGGAACAGACATACGTTTCATTAGTTTTTAATAATTTATTTACTTATTGATACATAATAAATTGAAAGATACTTACAATGTTATCTATGACTCATCATTGTAAAACACGCTCAATTTATAGTTTTACGCAGATTTGGATTCATATATCTGTTTATCCTCTCGTCGGCCATTCATATACTCTCGTAAACTCTGAAATTAAACATAATAATTGTGAATGTTTTAAATTTATTACACATTGGCAAAAATATTTTTATCTTCAACGTTTCGAAATCATGACATAGTATATACTATTTTTATTCGTATGAAAGAAAAGAAAAAATCACAGATGGAAAAAATAATTATTTGTTGCACGCATCGTAAAGAATATTATTTACAGCACGTGTTAATAATTCGCAATCGATTAATGATTCGCTATTAAAAAGACATCACTCTCGCGTATCGTTTTTACAGCATCGTATACAGTAGTAATATTATTACGTTGTAATATAGTTTCAAATTGTTTAAATTTTTCATTCACGAGATACATATTCTCACATAACCAATTGTGCATATCGATACAATTTTCAAAATTAAATAAATGTAATAATGTTTGTGGTTTCATGTATAAAGAATTTTCACAGATATGTTTTCACATACTCCTAATGTATACGAATCATATTTGTATACTTTTTGTTTGCGTCATATTGCTTATTCAATTGAACTTTATCCGCGAGATGTGGTTGACACTTTATACTTATATTAAATATTTCAATACAATAATGTACAAATTCCTCATAATAATAAATAAGTCATACCATCTTTTATCACGTTTAAAACAAAATATAATAGCATTAGCAATACCAAATTCGTCGAATTTCAATCACATGTACGATCGTAATTGATCGATTGATTTTAATTTTACCTATCCTGCAAAGTACCTAAGTAAAGTTATTAGATAGCTTTATCTTTGATTATAGTCTCAATTTTCATCTCGAGAAGTTTCGTTCCGATTTAATCGTTTGGTTAAAAGTTATAACTTCTTTTCCCATATTGATGCACTTTGAGCATTTCGTTTTGTATGTACATTGCTGTAAAAACAAATAAAGCAAAAAAATATAAAAATATATTTTAGAAGTTTATTATTAATTTATTATTATTTCATTGAATTATTTTATATACTTTTTCAAGGACAAAATCACATAATATTATTGAAAAGCTTATTTTTTCTATTTTTTAAGTCTGAATATTTTTTATACATATTATTAACAATGCATATCCTTATCGGAAATAAAATAAAATATATTTTTATTGTAGATAAAATAAAATATACACAATTTTTATAATATATCTATTAAAAATAATTGCAAAATGATTACATTGGCATTATTAATTTTGACAGTAACAATATTACAATATGTGCACAATTTTTCTATAACTCTTCATCGCTTGTATCACAATTTAATTATCGTAAATACTTTTAAAATTGTTAATATGAAGATGAGGCCGCGATGCAGGGACAATATACAGGGAGTGGAATGAGATTAAATATGCCGAGATTCCGTAATCGTTGCTTTATTAGTAGACGGCACGATGTGAGCGTGTCCACGGTACAAGACAAGACTGACGTGGTAGAGAAAACATATGTGACCAAAGGGACATGTGTAACGAAAAGACATGTGTGCGAAGGGGTATGCGTAAGGTCTTTTGTTCCGAGTCCTTCGGATGTCGCCACGGGAATCGCCTCATAAGACGATACTTCGAACACTTCCCCTCGATGAGCGTGCGATATCCTATCCAAAAAAAAACAAAATCAAATGCGTTTAAGACCTAAAAGATCGAGACACTTCTCGTGCTTCAGTCTGGCGAGACCCTTGGTGAGAACATCAGCCGCCATTAGTTCCGTAGGGGTGTAATCTATTTCCAGAGCTCCACTTTGCAATACTTCACGTACATAGTGATGACGAACATCGATATGTTTGGTTCTGGCGTGAAATACCGGATTTTCGGCCAATTTCCGAGCTCCATTATTGTCATTGAAGATCTTTAACTTTGTCGGCAGTTCAAAACCAAGATCGTCAATGAACCTTCGAAGATATACTGCTTCCTTCACGGTGTCTGAAATGGCCATGTACTCGGCCTCAGTCGACGAAAGAGCTGTGGTCCTCTGCTTCCTGGATTCCCAAGATACGGGACATCCGTTCAACAAGAACGCGTAACCTGTGTAGGAACGTCGATCGTCTAAATTGTTGGCCCAATCAGCGTCCGTGTAACCTGAGAGATGCTCCTTGGTTCTTTTGAAGGATAGACCAACATTCGAAGTTCCTCTCAAATAACGCAATACGCGTTTCGCAGCTTTCCAATGCGTCTCGTCGAAACAGTTGTTGAACTGGCTGAGATGACTCACTGCAAAAGCGATATCGGGTCTAGTACAGGTAGCTAAGTACGTTAACATACCGATTAATTCTCGAAATGGTAGGTGTGTCGCAGGGCAGTTTTCGCTTTTCTTCAGTTTGATACTGTTGTCTAGCGGGGTAGCTACGGGCTTGGAGTCCTCCATTCCGAATCGATTTAGAATATCTTTAATGTATCCTCTCTGGATCATCGTAACGTTGTCTTTGCTTCGAGAAAACTCGATGCCTAGACAGTATTTTAATTCTCCTAGATCCTTGACCTGAAATTTGCTAGAAAGATATTTAGTAAATTTGGCAACTTTGGATGGATCTCGAGAAGCCACCAGGATGTCGTCGACATACGCGGCGACGATAATTATGTCTTCGCCCTTTCCAGCGAAAAATACGCAGGGGTCGGCTGAAGATTGCTTTAATCCAAAATTTTTAATCTCCTGAGACAATTTTACATGCCAGCGACGACCGGCTTGTCGGAGTCCATAGAGAGCCTTTCTTAGTAAACAAACCTTATCTCCATTCTTTAACTTGCATAGCATGTTTTCAGCCTTTTCGACGATTCTTTTGTCTTTCTCGGAGGCAATTATTCTCTCTAGAATCTGAACAAAAAATTTTGGAACTTCCATGTAAACCTGTTCTTCAAGTTCCCCATATAGATATGCCGTCGTGATGTCCAGCTGGTGTATCTTCAAGTTGTGTTGAACCGCCAGAGCAGATATGATGCGAATTGAACTGATACGTGCGACCGGTGCAAAAGTCTCATTGAAGTCTATGCCGGGGCGTTGTGAAAAACCACGAGCAACTATACGAGCCTTTCTTCGTTCTAGAGATCCGTCTTGATTCATCTTATTACGCAATACGATGCGGCTGCCGATAACCTCGCGCTCTTTGGGGCGATCCACTAGCGTCCAGGTATCATTTCTGATGATAGCTTTCATTTCTACAGCCATCGCGTCGATCCACTCAGCCGCTTCAGGCCCTTTCAAGCATTCGCTGATTGATACTTCAGTGAGATACGAGAACTCGAAATCCTCTGTTTCGTTGGTCGCTGCGAATTCTGTCTCGTCAGCATCGTCTGCTTCATCGGTCATAGTGAGTTCTGTTTCTTCAGCGTAGTTGCCTGTAACTTGATACTGTTTCTTGGGTCTTCCCCTGAATCCGGTCATCACTCTTCGAGGTCTTCCACGTCCTCTTCTTGCTTCAATCTGTAAGTCGGGAGCTTGAGCCTCCCGGTCTTCAACAGAATGGTCGCCCTCGATCGTGTCATCAACGTCGTCTTCCCGGTCTTCATTTCTTTCACTTACTATTGGAAACTCGACTTCTGTTCGATCGTTGGTGAGTTCTTTGTCAAGATAGCGTTCGTTGTCTTTTTGGCTCGATGATTCCGGCACTTCCATGAATTCTACGTCTCTCGTAATGTCTATTCGGTGTTCGTCCGGAATCCATATCCTATATGCCTTAGAGTTCTCAGCGTATCCGACGAAGATCCCCTTTTTGGATCGTGACTGGAATTTTCCCTTGTTCGGATTTCTATCCAGGAAATGCACTGAGCAGCCAAAATCTTGAAAGTATCCGACGCTCGGCGTGTCGCCTGCCCATTTTTCGTGCGGGATTTTTCCGCCGAGACTACTAGTCGGGCATCTGTTGCGTATGTAATTTGCCGTATTAATGGCCTCTCCCCAGAATGATGGTGAGAGATTCGATTGAATCAGCAGACATCGGGCCATTTCAACGAGGGTCCTATTCTTCCTCTCTGCAACTCCATTCTGTTCCGGAGTGTGTGTCACCGTCAGTCTGCGTCTGATTCCTTCTCTCTTTAAAAAATCGTCGAACTCCCGATTGACGTATTCCTTGCCATTGTCCGATTGCAAGCACTTGATCCTGCGTCCGGTCTGATTTTCGACTAATGCCTTGAATTCCTTGAAGGCGTTAAATACTTCGTTTTTGCTTTTGAGCATTCGAACCACACACCATCGCGAATGATCATCAATAAAAGTCACAAAATATCTTGACTTTCCAATCGATTCAGCCTTCATGGGGCCGCATACATCTGAATGTATTAATTCCAAGAGTTCAGTCTTCCTGTTTGATTTCCTTGGGAATGTAGTCTTCGTCATCTTACCGCGAATACATATTTCACACTTGAAATCGCGTTCGGCGTCTACGATTTTCATACCGCGTACGATTCCTTCGTGGCTGCACGTTAAAAGATCTCCTACATTAAGATGACCCATCTTGCGGTGCCATATTTCCGTTGATGATTCAGTGAAGGTTCGGTCGAATTTATTTACACCCGCAGCCCGGCAATCATGTCTACCTTCCTGTAGATAATACAGTCCGTCGATACGATTAGCCGCGAGTCTTGTGACTCCGTCACGGTCGATAATCCTTGCCGATTTCTTTTCAAAGATAACTTTGAATCCTCCGTCGGTAATCTTGCTTACCGACAATAGATTTGTGCGCAGATCGGGCACGTGTAGAGTATTTTTCAAATTAACATGTTTAGAATTACCATCGACTTCCGCTTCGAGACGTACAGTTCCTTTTCCGGTTATCATCGTTGACGAATTATTTGCAAGATTTAACTTGTTATCCTTGATCTTTGCAAGATGCGTAAACATATCCGAATCGCTACATAAATGAGAGGTACATCCGCTATCTAAACACCATGGTTTGTCTTGGGTAGCTTCCTTCGCCTGGAACACTTCCGCTTCATCCAGGATCTTCATTGGTGCACATGCGAAGACACACACGTCGTCAGCCATCTTTCCTTTTTCGGAGCTCCCTTTAGACGCTTTATCTCCCTCTATTCTCGAATAACAATCGGATGCCTTGTGTCCGATTTTTCCACATCGATGACATTTAAATTTGAAAGGTTTCTTCTGCGATGTATTTTCCTTTTTGCTTTTCATGCCCCTATTTTTATCGAAGCGTCTGGCGATCATGGCGCCCTGGCACGTGCGTCGTTCTTCCTGGCGTCGTGTTCTTCTATGATCTTGATGCGAAGCGTTTCCGGCGTGGGCAATTCGTCGCGCGATTCGATAGCACATCTAAAGTTTTCGAAATTCTGTGGAAGACTATACAGTAACATCACTGTTAACAAATCGGGATTGATATTCACTTCCATGTCACTGAGCTTGTCTACTGTATCGAAAAACTTGCACAAATATTCGCGAACGTCTTCGTCGTCTCCCATTCGCTGTACCGTTAACTGCTTTAACAGTGTGGCTTTTCTGGCAGGACCTTTGGATTGATAAATTGACGAAAGCTTATTCCAAACTTCTCTCGATGTACCGCAGCCTTTCACCTGTTTTAATTCAGTCGGGCTTATTGAAAGAATTATGTCGGACTTGGCCTTCTGATCTGCCGTTTCCCATTTTCTCACTTCTATAGCAGACTCCTGGCTCCCGGCGATAAGTTCCGGTTTGACTGTATTTCCGTTCACATAATTCCACGCATCGTTTTTGATGAGAAGCGCCTCCATTTGGATTTTCCACGTGTCGAAATTTTCTTTGTTAAGCAACTCGATCTTTGCGGACGATGACGCCATGTTTCCTCTTTGTCTGGCGTCTACTGCCTGTTAATTAATTTGTCCCTTGATTGCGATAAAGCCTGGGCCCATAACCTGTTAATATGAAGATGAGGCCGCGATGCAGGGACAATATACAGGGAGTGGAATGAGATTAAATATGCCGAGATTCCGTAATCGTTGCTTTATTAGTAGACGGCACGATGTGAGCGTGTCCACGGTACAAGACAAGACTGACGTGGTAGAGAAAACATATGTGACCAAAGGGACATGTGTAACGAAAAGACATGTGTGCGAAGGGGTATGCGTAAGGTCTTTTGTTCCGAGTCCTTCGGATGTCGCCACGGGAATCGCCTCATAAGACGATACTTCGAACAAAAATATTGATTGTTTAAAACTAATAAATCTTTACTTTATAATAAAATAAATAGGGCTTAATAGAGTAAGAAATAAGTCCCGAGAAAGAAACAAATTTTATAACATTATATGCCGTATTTTGATCAGGTGTTGCATGAACACTAAGATAACATATCTATGGATAGAAGGAAAATGTAGAAGATTATAAATAACCTATTCTGTTGTGTTCATTAAATTTTTCATATTACAGTTTATTCATACACACATACATTTATATCTAATAGATAATGAATAATTATTTCATACTAATTCGAATATATAACATTACTAAACGTATAACATTAAGCTTTTTGTTAATTTTAATATAAACTTTATTGTTAATTCATTTGTTATTAGAGACATCAAATTACTTGTCAAATTACTTGGTTTTAATATTTGCAGCATATATATTATACGTATATTATGATATGCCAATGATATCTTGCGTGCTGCAAGCATGATAAATGTTTGGCATCAATATAGAACTTGGAAGCCTTAGATGTCTTCGAATTACAAGAATAAATGGCTTTTCATATTAAAAAGTCAATGTATTAATTAGAAAAATTAAAACATGTAATTTGCTCTAAATTTTCAAATAAAATAATCAGTATCATCTGTATTGAATTTAATCTGACTTCATCAAACAAAAATTTTAAACTCTAAAATCGTCAAAGAAATTAAGTTAAGTCCAAATTAATTTGTTGAATCTAATTCAGTACAGAACATCTGATATTTTATTTCTATTTATTTATCATTTGATTCTAATTTGTATATCATCCACTTGTTCATTTTTTCTCTCTTCTTTTTTTCGACCCATTATAATTATCACAAAAAATTATTAGATATTTATTTTTTACCACCACTACGCTATTATAGTTATGTATAAATATGATTGCACTTTTCCAGTTCCTTCTTGTATATTGTCGCATGTGTAGTTCTCTACCATTTGCATTATTCAGTCGAAATCATTCTGTTACTTCTGTTGTAATGATTATTTAACACTCGTTCAGTATATTATATTATTTTACACACGTTCAATATATTATATTATTTTTTTCTTATGTAGAGTACAATAAAGTTACATCCATCGGGCACGTTGTGTTTCATACTTTTCTCAATAAATATTTATAATTATCATCAATCATTAACTCTTTGAATTTATGATTAGTATCTAGTTATTAAATGTTATCTTATGTTTTATAACATTTGTATTATAATTATGAAATACTTCATATGTGCATTATATAAACATATATCAAATGTTATATAAACACTTTCATCTTAAAAGAAGCATTTTTTTACATTATCATACAATACTTTAAAAAATAAAAATATTGTAAAAAAACTGCATAAAACATTTCCAAAAAACAGAAAACGTGATGATGCTTATTATCAATATTTAAATGGAACTCATCAACTTTTTATTGTATTATAACTCAACCGCTTTGTTGTCGTTATTGTATATGTATTTCTCGTTCGTGAATGTATATTTTTAAACAAAATGAATAAATGAAAATACTATCCATATATCCAAAAACTAACCATATATTAAAAGTAAATATGTGTATGCATTACATTTCGTTATCTTTTCCTGGTTTCATTCACTAATCAGCCAAATATTTTATAAATATATCTTTAAAGTCTTTCATAAATATCGATATTCGTACACTTGAGTTTTTACTTGATGCCAACGTAGTTTCAACTTGCGATTTACATACATTATTATCATATTCATTGTAAGTGGCAAATATTTCTTTACCTAAAACGAATTATTTTAATATTTATTTCAACAATAATTTCTTTTCACACTATGGAAGTCAATCATAATTTTTGGTTATTAACGTAATTGGCATAAGATAGTTATTTGATATAAAAATAAATACATAAATAAACTTAATAATAAGAAATTTGCAACTAAATATGTATATTTAAATTTCCAAAATTTACCATGTTACCGTTTTCATAATATTCATAATTAATCATTAAATTTGGATTCGTATGGTACCTGAAAACAGCTATGTATTTCTTTATCTAAAATAAATTATTTTTTTTTAGACAACAATGTAAATGTTAATTTTACTTTATAATGTAAAAATATACATATATAACATACAACAGATAAATCTATAAGATATATTTATTTAGATATAACAGATAAATGTAAAAAATACTTATTGTTAGATACAATATATATATATTGATAATTGAGATTCAAAACAAGATATTAATAAACAGTTTTATTTTATATACATGTGCATGTACATATGTATACGAGTCTACATATAAATTTATAAAATTTACCTCATCTATTTGTTGTTTAGAATATACGTGGTTAATGAATATAGTTAATGCTGTAATATAGCTGATTTCTCTATAAAAACAAAATAATAGATTTATATAATTAGAAAATGGGTCAAATCTTTATTATTGCATAAATATTACATATTTATAAAAAAGTAGTCATTACTTCGGTTTTGTATTATATAAATTGTAGAAATTAAATAATCCAGTCCTTGCATGTCTCGTAACAATAACAAAATAACTGTTTATATAATCCATAGTTATTGTCATATTAGTCATTATATTTATATACTGGAGAATGATTGAAGGATCTTTGGAACAAGTTAAAAATTTTAAAATACTATTATCTGATTCTTTCAAATATATATCATACACGTGCATCCAAGTATCGTTTCCCGCTGTCTTCAAACCATTGCAAAATGTCCATTCTTTCCATCCCATCCAAATTCTACGATATTCAAAATGAAATAAAAATAAATTATTAGAATTTATAATCTTTATTTTTATTTATATCTCTTAATCGCATAAATTATCAAATGTTTCACAACGCTACAAGAGCAAATGTTTTTATTATATTAAATGATCGTAATTAAAAGTTAACTGGCAAACCGTAATTACTTGTGTGATGAAGATTTGTTATCACTTAAAAGATATAACCTTAATTCATGTAAAGCTATTGAAAAGCAATAATCATGACTTAAAATGCATAACCATCTTGCAGCCTCTTGCCTCAAACATTTAGTGAAAATGTTCCCTTGAATGATTCTATCCGGTCTAAAATCCGGATATTTTATTTCCCATAACATCTTACTCAATGATTTTATCATTTCTTTCTACAAATTGTTAAGCAACATATAAACATGTATATATTTTAAAATTTATATATAATACATTAAAATGTATATAATTATTTACATATTATAGAAGAATTGATATAGTTTGTGCACATGCATATGCTATTATTTAAAATGCAAATAATACAACAATATTTTTATAAGGTTAAAAACATAGTAATAAATGCGTAATTATAGTACTAAATAATACATTTAAATAATACAATTTAATATTAATGTTTTATAAAAATTTAAAAGCGGAAGTTGTTTCGTGAATCTTAGAGAGTTAAATATTATGTATACTCATCTATAATTCATCGAAATTTATTAATTTTAAGTCATAAATGTGTTGTGTATATTGTTAATATAAATATATAAATTATTTAACATAAAACGCACGTTTTTTTATTTACAAAAGCTGATATTATTTATACCTTTATAGGACTATATGCGCTTTCTGGATATGCAAAGAAACCCGAGATATATTCCAAGTTTTTGAACATAGGATACCATGCGATATAATCTGTATCTTGCCACAGGTAGTGAGAAATATCCACGAATACAGTAGAATTTAGTCGGCCTGTCATCAGAAAGTGAAATGCGTCGTCGATGATTTTAGCACGATCAAGAACATGTATTTTTCCAAAGAATTTGGAGTTCAGGTAGTGCGAAAGTCTATTCCAATTCTTGGCATCATAATTGACGCGATAACATCCTATTGTATTGTAAATAAATTCTATCAATGAAATAAATTAAATTCTTTTTAAATTTCATTTTTGTCAAGTAATAATTTGAAATATCTTTCTATATTCTTATAAAAAGTGTATTAGAAATTATGTATTAAAAATTTGCAATTATTATAAAAAACAAATTGTGGATTGAATATTAAATTATGTCACGCTGATAAATTAATGTACTAAAAACGTTATATCAACTTAAATTTTGACTACATTGATGATAATCAAATTTGATAATCAAATTATACCATATATTTTATTGTGTGTAACGTTTTAATGTATGTACACACAATCTTTAGATTGTACAATCTTTAGATTATATAGTAAAATTTTATTATAATAACAGTACATTATATGTAGACCTAATTTATCAAATAGAAATAATCAGATATAAAAATAGCTAATTTATACATATGTATGTGTAGCAAATTACAAATTATCATATTTAGTTAAATATAATAATTAAACTATCCAATAATTAAATTTTTAAATATTGAATAATTTTGAGCATAGTTGGACCTAAAAAAAGTTCTCTAACTAATATAAAAAGGTTTGCTTCTTTTATAATTTAAATAACATAAATTGAATTATGTTGAATTATATTGAATTATACATATACAGTGTCCCACTTTAACTTTTACACAGTAATAACTCGAAAACAGGCGTTTTGGAAAAAAATTTTCAAATAAAAGTTGTAGAGTTTCGAAAGGGAATGAAGTTAAGAATATCAAGACTTTATATGGAGCTTGGATGTAAAAGCCAAAGTCAACCTAATTCTTTTGAAATGAAACTATTCTATATATAATTTTTGTATAAAATCAATTTCTTACAATATTCCCTGTAAAAAATTGTAAAAGTAAGATAGTAAAAAATTGAATAGTTTACGAAATATTTTATACTTTAAGTTAACAAAATTTTAAACAAAAACTATAAAGTATCTCTTAAAATATTTATTTTTTGATTACCTAAATACTTCTACGCATAGAATAATGAGACAATGAATTTATGTAATATAAAAAAACACGTAATTATTTTTAAGAAAAAGTATAAATTTGCAAAGTGCAGCATATCTAAAAATAAGCTACGTATCTAAAAGTATAATAAATTTATCATAAATATTTACCACTTTGTGAATTGACCAATAAAGAGTCATTCTCGTTCTTGAGATCTGTAATAATATGTGAAATATGTGGTACTAGCCACACGTCAATCGAAATATTTTTCAAATGGGTCTCCGTAACAATACTCATATCTATATATTCATTCAATATCCATATATCTACATTAAAATCTTGTACCGATATATTCAAACTGTTTTTATCATAATTTCTTTCCACATTTATCACAGGATAATAATTTAGCTGTGTCCAATTAGTTATTTTGTCTTCTAATTTATATTTCATTTTGGAAGATGATTCTTGCATGATAGTTTGCATTCCGTTCCAGAAACTACTACTGCTTGTGTAGCTAAAAATCCAAACAAATAAATGATGAAAAAATTAATAAAAGAAAATATCTTAAGAAAAATATTGTAACGCAATTAAAATTTTTAAAGATCGAAGTGAAAAGGAAGAGCAGTAGTGATAATAGTGTAAATTATATCAGATAGGAATTGGAATAATAATAAATTGACAGAAAAATGACAGAAAAAAATAAATAGAATAGTAATTAAAAAAGACAAATGTGTCACAGAAAAGAAATAAAAAAATATTTAAATAAAAAGAATTAAAAGGCACGAGTAGAGAACATATGGGAAAATGTAAAAAACAAGAATTAAAGTGGAAATACAGATAAAAGAAGAAGTTAAGGAAAATTAAAAGAAGACGAAAATTAAAATAATAGAGATAAATTGAAAAGAAAATCAAAATAATAATAAGTACAAACATAATAATAAGATAAGAAGTAAAAATTAACAAAAGTAAAATTAACAAGTTTTGAATTTACTAGTAAAAATTAAATATCAATAAATTTAGAAACACGAAAATGGAAAAAGGAATAGGAAAGAAGGTCGAGAAGTATACCGAAATAAATTTCAAAAATTATTAAACAAAGCAAAATATAATTATAAAAAAGGAAATATTAAAAAATCATTTAAAAATATAAACTTAAATTTATAATATAATTATGTTCTGATTTGTATTACTCACCAATTATTTAAATATGTTATAATACTTTTCCTGAAAACATTTTCTGAGAAAGCTTGCAACGTGTAGAGCATAAGGCTTGCTACAAAAATTGACATTATAAAGTAAAAGTAAAGTGTGAATGAAATAAATTTGGTATACATCACTTGGATATATGTAAATTTATAGACATAATTTCTTTGTGATAAGCAAAATGATAAACAAAAGTTTATTTTATTTTTTTGGTAAATATTAATATTTATGTAAACAGTAATATATAAATAAATTATATAAAATAACTAACTTACATGTAAAACAAGTTAGTTTATTTTTTTATTATAATGTTTTTATATGCATCATTAAAGAATCAATCTATCAATAATTAATTATTTGCTTGATATTGATACCTTTGATGAAACGAGGTACTTCAAAAGAGCTATTGAATTCTGATTTGATAAGTGGCCATGTATCCTTAGTGCTCCAATGAAGAAAATCATGTTGCATTTGAACCACAAAGAAATCTTGTATCCGAAAATCTGGGAATATCTGGACGCGTAAAAATTTTAATCTAAATAAATAATCTAAATATTTAAGTCTAAATATTTAATCAAAACAAATGCTCACACAAATTATCAACATATATTCAAACTGTTGCAATATATTTGAAAAAATATACACATATTCGCTATTGTATTTTTCTTATTAAATTTAAAGAAATTTTAAAATATCTAATGATATTTAATTATATTTTAGACATTTAATCAAATTATGTATTTTTAAAATTATTTAAAAGCATATATATCAATATATATAAATTATGATATTTAAATTTAATATTGCTTTTGTGGTAAATTGTAGCTAATTGCACGGACCTGCGAAATTTTAGGTTCGGTTAGTTAAAAAATTTTCTTATTATTTCATATTTGTATATCTCAGCGAAAAAAAATTGTGCGAAAGTAATCGAAAATGGATTTGAATGATGAAAAATAATATTATACGATGTCATTGGTATTTCATAAAAATTAGGTTTTTCCATAATAAGTTCATTAAATTTGCCAAAATTGCATTTTAGACTATTTAACTATAAATTACTCAAAAATCTGACGTTCTGGAAAAATTCTGCAGTCAGATTCGCGTCAAAAAGTCTATCAGATTCACCAACTCTGCTTTTTGTAATTAACCAAACCTAAAATTTCGCAAGCCTGCGTTATCGTAGATAGATTAGAAATTTTAGAAATACAATTCCGATGTAACTTATGTTAGTATATATTAAATGATAAACAAACAGTTTTAACCCAAAAAAAGGTTTAAGAATATTTTAAATTCTGTATATAGAAGTCTGAATATTTTTACATTATTCTGATTATATGTGTGTGATTGAAATAATTAATGCCAAATATAAAATAACCTGATCGACGGCGTAAATTCCAAATAATGTAGCAAAGCCTTTGCTTAACCAGGGTTCCCACTTATATGGATCAATTGCATTATAAAGCCATTCGTGTACCCCCTTATATCCTATTACTCGCGCTATTTCAATTTTGCGAATCTCAGCATCTGTTTCTTCATTAAAGATAACATCTCCTTCTCTAATAATAATTCGCAAATATTACAATAAAGACGAGAACGCTTGTTATAAATATGTTATATATATATGAAAATTAGTTATATTATAGATAAATTGAATGATTAAATTAAATAGATAAAAAAGAAGAAATGTATAATTGCTTTAACTAGAAGTAATATATCATATATGTTTAATACAAAAAGAGCATACATACGCAAATTACTCTACATGTTAAATTGTAATACATTATTATTATTATTATTATTGTTAATATTATTTATTGGGACTATAAAAAAATATAAAAAGATATATAAATTTGTATTCTATAATATTGAGTAGCGAGAAAAAGTATTATTTCTTTATGTATGTTGACATTTGTCTTTAAATATATTTACTTATATCAAAAAATATTTACCTATAAAGAACAAATCCCAATATTATCTCTTCTGCATCGAGCAACTCCGGAATCGCGATGTGATTAGTTTCTCGAATTTTCCTGATTTGCGGCAAAAACCGCGCAATATTTTGAGCAACATTGTATGCAAATGTCATATATGGCCATATGTCTTTTCTGCACAACAATTTGGTATTCCAACTTGTAGTAAAGGAGAGATTAAACACACCCGCCGCTATGAAATAAACGGGCATTACGGGAGTAGTTTGGAAGCGTGTCCATTGCATATTATTTCCATCCACTTTTATATCCTTCCATATCTTAGGCATATTTGATAAAGCCATGAAGTTTTCATGATGTTGTATAGAAATGCTATAACTAGCACGTAAAGTGTCCTTTAAAAGTGGAAATAATTTTCGAGTCGCAAATTTGTAATAATGCGTTGCGGCTAACCACCTAGCATATATAACAGTATATTTTAAGTAATACAAAAAATTTTCAGTTATTGCTGAAATCTTAAAAATTAAAAGGAAAAATAGAAAAAACAGAAAAAAGGGACAGAAAACGAGAAAAAAATACATCTTAACACACTGTTTAAAAAATAGTAGTAACATGTTTTATATTACAATTGTACAATATAAAAATGCTTTTACAGAATTTATTATTTATCAGACAACTTTCTACGAACTGTAAGAGAGAAAAAACTATGTTTAAGTAATAATTTATTAAAACATACACATATACATATATTAAGACCATGCCTTGATAATAATACAAATACTTTGTAAAGAATTGAAACAAGAAATTAATGTAATTAAGACCTAAATATTTAACATTTAAAGATTACTCACATTCTATCATTTTGTTGATTCATGTAAGTTCTGAATCCTCCATTTTTAGCTAAAAGTCCCATAAATTTCATATTCAGAGTGTAAAATCCTAACGATAAATTGTACGGGAAAGAAATGGTAGTTATACATGTTTCATTGTTATAGATAAATTCATCAGTGCTATGGGCAAAAGCTTCTTCTTCACTTTCTTTAGTTATTTGTGCATCGTTTTTTACCCTAACTCGAGTTATAGTTAGATTTTCTGTGTAAACGTATATATTTTGCGTTTTATAAGGAATATAAATGCTAACATTATATTCGCCATGGAAGACATCGTAGCTGATATTTAGTACAAAGTTGATGTTATAATGTTGTGGATATAATATGTCGAGTTTTGGTATGGTCATATGTTCATCAATAAAAAGAGCCGCCGCGATAATAAATATTAGACTGCAACTTAACACTTTCAGGAACGCCATGCCACTTTTTTCTTTTCAAATTTCTTTCTATCTATATCAACTTGCTCTTAATGTTCTGAGAATCTACCGAGAAATAACAACGCTTGATGTTATAATAAACATGTCAATAAAATGACGTTTAAAATCATAATAGTTCAGGTCATAATAGGTCAGGTTTAATAAACGTTTTATATATAGTCAATAAACACAATATTTAATTAAATTAATCCTCAACATATATATTTTATTTTGAAAGTAATTATTTTTGAAAAACTTTATTATACATATTATTATACATATATATACAATATTTTTATACATATTGTACATATACATATAATACATATATACATATAATATTTATATATTATTATACATATATACAATATTATATATATACAAACTTTATTATACATATAAATAGATTAAAAAATAGGTTTCGAAAGAAAAATTCAACTAACATGAATTTCGCAATTCGTCATGTAATATATTATATAATAACGTTTTTTTTTGTATTCCTTAAATGATGGAATATTATTCTAATAAAAATATGAAAAAATGAAATGTATCGTTTTTAGGTAATCAGTTTTCAAATTTATCATGATTTAACACATTATATATTTTACACAAGTTTTCATATTACATAATTATAATTATAATAATAAATTTTCTTTAATTACTGTTTTATTATGTATGAAAAAGAGACAGTATATAAGAAATATGTACATAACCTTTTATTTTAAAAATCTAGCTAGATAAAAAAATCATAATTTTTTACATATTTCAGTAAATATATAATATTAATTTAAGTTAGATTTATCATATTAGCACAATAAAGAATTTCTTTTTTATGTGTTTGATTTTAAGTTAAATTGAATTCATTTCTAAGATAATATAATAATACACACACATGTAAAATTAAAATCTTTTTCCTCTAGTATCTTTATAAAGACAACAATTTTGAGAAAAATGATTGTCTTTGAATTAAAATACTATGTTGGTTATGCATGTGTGTTAAGATTATTTGCATTGTTCTCGACATATTCAATGTACACATTTTATTTTTTTAAAAGCGGTTGTATATTCTGTCTTGTTATAACTCACCTCATATATTGTGATGTCAGCTAATCAGAATTTAGTTCTTCGATAATAATTAAGATTATAATTAACTCTTTATTACTATAAATTATTACTGATATTGAAAATATATGTACATTAATTTCATTCCTCTCTCTCCCTCTCTCTTGCCGTTCTGAGATACTACCGAGAAATGCCAACATTCGACAAGCGATATCATAATAAGCATGATATGGAAACAACTTTGAAAATCAAAATAATGTAAAACCAGACTACGTGTCTTATCAGTTAATAAACACAATAAAATACTAATATATGATTAAATCAACTTTCTTTTTGATATATTTAATTAATTATTTTTAAAATGCATTTTATAGTAATTAAAAAGTTGTATTCTCTCCATATTCTTTTATTTTTTTTACTAAGAAAATAATCCGTCGCTGTTTGTATCTTAATTTATTGGCTCTAATTGTAGATTTATGGTATTCCATCAATGTCCAAAGTTTTTTATAAATATAATAAAAATAGATAAAAAGGAAAACTAAATATAACTAAATAGTGCAAAATTATATTATAAAATATATAAATTTCATAATTTTGTAAGTATTACATAAATGGTAAAATATTATTCTAATAAAAAAATGTGTGCACGGAAAGATGTAATATTTTTAAATAATTTATTTTCAAATTTATGAAGTTATTTACACACACACACAAATTTTTATAAGTATATGCAATTATTTTACAGTATTATATTAATTCCAAAAGCGTTATGAACTCAAAGTTTTTAATAATTTCGATATAATTTTAATTCTTTATTTTTTAAAGATATGTTGACTAGATCATCTTCCAATCTGGAAATTGAATTTGTGTTTGGATTTCTTGCCTTCGTGGACAAGAGTTAAATTCTGACTGGTTAATACAATATACATATAATTAATATAATATAATATAAGAAATAAAACAAAATAAAAAGTAAATGTGTAATAAAAATATGCATAACGTTTACTCATTGAAGAAAATATAGAATTTGCTTGCGGATATGTGTTATAGTTAGAATTAAAAATTTTCTAAATTCGCCGAAACACAGGTCCAGATTAAAATACAATAATAAAATTAAGATAAAAGATTCCTCAAGTCTAAGTTCGAAAATTATTCATCTATTTCAACGATTTCTCCCAAAAGTAGTGATAATACAAAGAAAAATAATATAAAAAGGAAGAAATAATATAAAGAGGAAAAAAAGAAAAAAAACAAAAATAATAATAATAACGCAAGAAATTCTAATCATAATTCTATATCATAAAATGTACCATATTTTGACGTCTTTTTCTTATCATAATAATGTATTTACTTTTATTTTCTTTCTTATACGGAAACAATTCATTGCCTCTTAATTTCAATTTGATCTTAATGTTCTGGGAATTTAACAGGAAATAATAACGGAATTTTTTTATTAAATATGCATACAAGGTGTATATAAATATTTTTTATCTACTCTACCTATTTTTTTTGCCTTTGTAAGATTTTTTTAGAGGGATCTATAAATTTTCAAACGCTGCTGTTTTTATCACCATTTTTTACGAAATGTATATACAATCTATTGAGTCAATAGTAATCACATAAGAAAATAATATAGCATATAAGGGTTGGAATAAAAAAATTATCTCAACATTGATAATATTTAAATTAGCAAAAAGAAAAGATTGTGCCAACAGTACATGGTGTTCCCAAGCGGTCACCCATCTAAGTACTGACCATGCCCAACGTTGCTTAACTTCAGTGATCGGACGAGAACTGGTGTTTTACAACGTGGTATGACCGTTGGCGATAATGAGCCATTTGATTGTCCAAGATATAATTTTTGAATTTTTACAACGTATTTTGTAAATTTTTATACATATTGAATGCAATTATTTATAAATTTTTAAACATTGCGAATTCTGTTATTTATCACCATTTTTCATGAAATATATAATATATTGATTCATTAGTAATCACATAAGAAAATAATGTAGTATATAAAGATTGGAATAAAAAAAAACCTTTAAAAAAACTTTACAAAATTAAAAAAAATACGCCAAATACATAAAATTTATTCTACCTTATATGCATGTTTAATAAAAAAATTCCTTAAAAATAATTTACAGTAATTTTCCCTCAAAAAATCATTTTTCTAAAAACACAAAACCTCAACAAATAACTTTTATAAAAAAATATTAAAAAATAAAATATCAAAACTAAACATAAAACCAATAATTACTATTAACCAAGTACATAAGACCAATTTGTAAATTTGATATCATGCAAAGATCTGAGAGTCCAAGACATGTTTCCAAAATTCTACTCTTTAGTTATAACGGCGCGCATTTCTTCACACCTAAGAATAAGATGATGACAAAATATTTTACACGATATATTTTTTTTATTTTAGAAAAAATTGCCGTACACTATTTTAGAAATTATTACAATTGTTATTATATAGAGAATATATTTATAATGTTATACGTATGAATACGTAATATATATATATATATATATATATATATATATATATATATACACACAGGGTGTATAAAAATACAGGGACGGTGAAATATTTCGAAAACTAAGCATTTCAGAAAAAATGTTTCAGATGAAAGTTGTAGGATTTCAAAAGATTATTTACTGGAGCTATGAGTTTAATCGTGGATGGCGTCATCAAGGTCAGAGCAAGGTCACCTAGAATTTTGTTAATGGGATCCCCTATTTTTTATTGCATATTTTTGAAGCTCATCTCGAGGGTTTTTCAAAATACTAAATAAAGTGTTTTTTCATGGAGTACTTTTCGAGTTATGATGCTTAAAATAATATCTTAATTTTACGTAAACTATAAAATATCTAGTAAAATATTCATCTTTTGATTATCTTACCTTAATACTTTTTATGTACAAAATAATGAGAGTAATCAATTGATGTAAAGAAAACACACGCTTGTTTTTAAGAAAAAATATGTAATTTGTAATTAACAATTAGGTAACCTTGCTTTGACCTTAGCGACGCCACCCAAGGTTAAACTCATAGCGTCAGTAAATAGATCTCTCGAAATCCTACAACTTTTATCTGAAACATTTTTTTCTGAATTGCTTAGTTTTCGAAATATTTCAACGTCCCGGTACTTTTTATACAACCTATAGACTATATATATATATATAGGTATATATATATATATATATATATATATATATATATATATCAAAGAATTTGATACCATGTAATACATTATTGTATAATATATATATAATGTAAAATGATATTAATAAAATCATGTTTAATAAGTAATAAATAAATATAATAACTGGATTCTATTTAAAAATATGTTGATAATTAAAAATATGTTATTATAGAAAAAAGAATTTAAATGTGTATTATAAAGATACTTCAATATTGAATTAATGGCAGATGCAAATTAATTCAATATTAAATGAGAAAATTTAAGTTAATCTTGGAATATTACTTGTTGCAATGATTCATCCAATGAATTTGCTCTTTTCCTTTTTCCTAAAGATAGAGATGTTGAAAGTTATGTAAGAAGTATGTTAACTGGCGGCGTTGGCATTTTACTGGAACTTTCATATGATGACGGACTAAATAATCCTAAAGATACAATCTCATTCTACAATGCGTGAGAAAAGGTTTACAGTCGTAATCATTATTAAAGTAAGCATTGATGCATACTCAACAAGCTGGATATGCTGTAGTCGCTAATGTTTATAAAATATTTGCAAATTGCGATGTTTGTGGCGATGTTTCCAATAATTTAAAAGCTGGAGATGCTTCCAGAGGAGAATGCGAATTTTCGCTAATTTGAGGTCCGTCTTCTTAACAATCCACAACACAAATTATGATATCTAGCATACGGTGATTTTAAGTTTATCTCAGGCCATTTACGCCGCTGTTGGAACAATATTTTTTGAAAAAAGAACAAAAAAAGAATAATTATTTATAACGATTTAAATATATAGAACATTTACGAATTGTATAGGTGCTTCACATCCTCTTGGCTCTATCTTTAAACTTTCGTTATATAGATAAGTGTCTATATTTTCATCTGACATATCAGGATCAAAAGGGCACATATTTTCAATATATTGTCTTATTTTAGACTCCACAGAAAGACAATAAGGATGATTTTGGTACAACTGCATTTCATCAATTATTTCTACCACTTTTCGCCATTTATTAAAATTGATAAGGTTCCGGTAAATAGGCTGGATCTCTTTCTTCAATATGCAGAATATTAGTCAAATATACACCTGAGAATGAAAAAAACATTTAAATCTTTTAATAATCACATAAAATAATCATTGTCAGTTTGTGATACTTACTTAAGAATGGTATACAAGGTGGATTGACATATTGTAACATTTCTTTATATTTCTGAACGTAATTGTTATTAATCTGTCGCACTTCTGCCAAAGTCTCTCGTAATTCTTCTGATAATTGCTATGAAAATAAACATGTTAAAGAGAGAATGGTTTGACATAAAAGAATTTTGACAAATATACATATAAGCGTAAATATATATATATGAATCATACATGCTTTTGATTCTTCGAAATTTCGCAAAATTTGTAAAACATTTTTTACCTATTATACATACTTGAAACGTAAATTTTAGCCTAAAAATTGAAACCGAATCCAAAGCACCGACAATCGCCAGAACGCCATTAAAATTCTTGAGATCTTGTAGCACCAACATTATTTCAATTGCACGTGATACAATGGCTACTCTCTCTTTAAAATTTTGAGCCTCCACTATTATTTTCTCCAGCCATCTTGTAAACTATCAAATAACGCAATATAAAAATTATTGCAGTATTTGGTACACTTTCGTGATAATTTGAAATCAAAAATCTAACATTTGTCGTGTGTCTTATCATTTTCATTAAATTCGGTGAACTTTTGTTTTTGTCTTCTTTTGTCCAAACACATCCTACTAACTCAACAGACTTTACTGCATTGTACAATTGAAACTCCAATAATGTTAATTGTCTTGCAAATTCAACAGGATGTATCTATAATCAAACTTATTTCTCAATATGAATGTTTTAGTGACTAATATAACTTTCCTTAAAAAAATCCCAACGTTAAAAAATATCATACCGTAAGTATTCCGTAGTGTTTATTATTTTCTGGAATTTTAAGATGCGATTTAATCGCTGGAGGATGATTCTTAAAATGTAATGAGATAGGTTTTGATGATTCGCGCTTTCTTTCTACAATTTCTAATAATAAATTAACCAATTTCTGTGTCACAGATGTGTCATTTATCGTTTTTAAAAATGATTGCAATGTTTCTAAAAGTTTTCCATCACGTTCGAAATCGTGAAAATGATAATCGATCTAATCAAAAACAGTAAATACTTTAGAAAAAACGGTGTTTTAAAAATTGCAAAAATTCAAGGGAAATGGAAAAAATATATATGTATTACTAACCCAATGTCTTAAAACATTAAAAACTCTAAACTGCACCGGATGACAGAACTCTATTTTGTATCCTTTCCAATCCTCTCTCTTCGTCGTTTTACATACAGATGTTTCTTTTTTACCATAAAACAACGAAGGATCTGGTATGTTAAATCTTTCTATCAATAATGTCAATAATGCTTGAGGTGAGCAAAAACTTCTATAAAATAAATTATAAAAAATTAGCAATTTGTTATATTTATATATATATATATATATATATATATATATATATATATATATCGAATAAGTTATATGTATTTATAAGAATTTGTTACAATATGCAATGCTGTTCTTTACCTGTAAGTAGTAAGGAATGCCTTTATAAAAGTTGGATCACTATATACATGATAAGTCAATCTCTCTACTAATTTTATCAAAGTTGCACCCTTAATCAATGGAACATCATTTTCTCTGGTCTCTAAAATAATATTCCCCTCGCTATCTTGTTCAACAAATTTATATATGTGAGCAGGAGGCAGCCTTAATGGATATTTCTTTTCTTCTTCCAAAATACTATACAAAGAACTTTCTAACATACTTCTTGATTTTAACATCATTAAAACCCTCATCCAATTGTTTTTATCCTCAACAGATTTAGCAATAAGAATAACACTAGGATGTTCTCTCGATATAATTTCAAAAGCATTTTTTAACTCTGTAAATAAATATTATGCATTTGCATTGCACGAAAATTTAACACGATATGGCAGTAAAATTTAAATAAACATTTTTTACCTTCGATGTCTTTTCTATCAATAATATCAACTTTGCTAATAAAAAGTTTCTCTTCCAATTGAAATTTATCTTGGTAAGTAAAATTTTTTTCATCAAAATACGTAAATATAACATCTATTTTCATTGGTTTACAAAATATTAGTAACTCATCGACTAAGAAGACTTTTCTATCAGATAATTCTTGTCCATTATTAGTCACTTTCTTTAATGTATCCTCTGTAAACACAAATTATCGATATATAAACATTAACAAGTCTGAAGATAATGTTTGATCATTCTAGACACATGTAATTAAATAATGGTTTATTTTTTATTTACTCTAATAAATTCACCGTAACAGCACTGCCCAATATCTTTTTGATTTTTACCGTGTACAATTTTTTGTATTGCCCTAATTTTTTTTATTGCCGCTTGGCTTCTCCCTTTACACTGCATTAACAATCTTGTATCTTCTTTTGGAACACTCGTCATAGATTTTGTCAATTCCATCTGTAGCGGTTTTAGCAAAACTTGTACTTGTCCCAGATTTTCGTTCTCTACCATGTTAGGGGTGTGCTCACATAAAATCTGTGATTTATTAAAAAATATGCAAGGTAAAACATTATTTCGAAATAAGCGTAAACAATCTCGTACAAATATCTGTAAAAAGAAATATCGCGTACCAAATATTCATAAAAGTGTTGATTGATGTCAGCAAGATGATTAGTCACTTCAGGTTGTATTTTCTCTGTCGAATCTTTTGTAACAGATTCCATAAGAACATCTTGCAGACCGTGATGCCAGGTACCCATAATCGCAAGTGTCGTTTTACTCGATATGAAGTCGTTTTGCGATCTCGATTATGTATTATTTTTTTACGAACAATATTATTCAGCCTTTTTTATCTTTCACAATAATTAATATATATTATATGTAGACCTCAATATTACATCGCTTTTATAAGTTCACATATATCACACTCGAGATATACTTACGTGCGTGTAAACTGTATCTTTGTAATCCAGAAAAACAATTTAATATTGACACGTCTTCGAGATATCACAGCCACATTATTTATTTGATCGTCGATGCGAAAACAGGAACAAAAGAAGTCAATGTTTTAACAATTTAACAAGTCTTAACAATTTAAATTAATTTATTCGAAATTTCAATTCGGATCTCGCAATATTTGACCGAGTATACCCGAAATTTCACAGTTGGCTATTTTGTAAGAGAACATTGCGAGTGTTCTGCTCGAGTTAAAGCTTCGCGTACGTATTCCCGACAAAATTTAATCGCAATGATCTGAAAGTCACCAATCAAAGACGACCGATAATCAGAACCAATCAAAGCTTCTATCGTGTGATTCCAATCTATTAACTGAGTTATTGCAACCATGAGTTTGACTGATACATAAAATAAAATAAAAAATATTTAAAAATAATTAAAGTTTTTATAGTCTTGAACGGAACGTCTCGTTCTTAAAAATACACACACACAAAGTTAAAATAATAATAAATTTCATTATGATACTCCCTAAAAGTGAATCAGTGTATTATTACTGTAATCAATGCTTATTATGCTACTTATAACTGCTTGTAATCAGTGAGTATATATTGTTTTTCAGTTATAATACACTGATTCACTCTAGACTGAATCTTTGTTTGCGTCATATAGTTTATTTAATTAAACTTTATCCGCGACAGTTGTATATGTGACAGTTAATATCCATATTAAATATTTCAATACAATAATATACAAAATCCTCATAATAATAAATAAGCAGTACCATTTTATTACGTTTAAAACAAAATATCATAGCTTTAGCAAAATCAAATTCGTCGAATTTCAATCACATGTACAATCGTAATCGATCGACTGATTTTAATTTTTACCTATCTTGCAAAGTATCTAAGTAAAGTTATTAAATAGCTTTAGCATTGATTATAGTCTCAATTTTCATCCCGAAAAAGTTTCGTTTCGATTTAATCATTTGGTTAAAAGTTATATTGCTGTAAAAATAAATTCACGAAGCAAAAAAATATAAAAATATATTTTAGAAATTATTATTTTATTGAATTATTTACATGAATTATATACATATTTTTTCAAGGATAAAATCACATAATATGAAATCACATAATATTTTTGAAGAGTTTATTCTTTCTATCTTTTAAGCCTGAATATATTTTATAGATATTATTAACAATACTTATTTTTATCGTAGATAAAGTAAAATATACACAATTTTTATAATACTTCTATTAAAAATAATTGCAAAATGATTACATTGGTATTATCAATTTTGACAGTAACAATATTACAATTTGTGCAAAATTTTTCTATAACTCTTCATCGCTTGTATCACAATTTAATAATCGTAAATACTTTTAATATATTAATTGTTAAAAACTAATAAATCTTTACTTTATGATAAAAGAAGCTAGATTCATCTGATAATTCCTACAAAAATTCTGATTCGTCCATTTTCCAACAGACATACAGATTGAATCTACCAAAATTCTAATTAATGCAACCAGATTTTTTTCTGAGTGTACAAATTGTTAAAATATATATATAACAGTTTATATATTTTAAAATTTATATATATTAAAATTTAATAAATTAACTAAATTAATGGCTCAAATATAAAACATATCAATTTAACTAAATAATTAGACAATATAGAGTTAACGCGGATGTAAGACGTAAAGCAATATAAAAACTATAATCCACAGTGATATAAAGTCAAATAGTTTGACATTACGTAACCATCTCAACCGCCCATCGGTCTAAGAATCTTCCAATGGTACAAAACGCAAGAAAAGATGCATCGGACACAATAAACGCGACGGAGATGGACTTGCTATGTCCAACGACTTTTAACCGATAATCAACGGAATGAGAATGTCGGACGTGCGATTGAGATGGTTACGTAATGTCGAACTATTTGTCTTTATATCACTGAAGAAGGCTCGAAAAAAGTCCAAAACGTATGATTGATCATCAATAAAGTGTTGATTATAGAAGTAGTTTTTTATTGTTTCACGTCTTACATCAGTGTTGGCTCGATATTGCTAATTATTTAGTTAAATTTATATATTTATTTGTATAATATAGAAGAATTAATTAAGTTGTGAGCATACATATGCTGTACTTTAAAACACTATGCAAATAATATAACAATCTTTTTATAAGGTTAAGAGCATAGTAATAAATGCATAATTATAGTACATACCATATAACAAGCACACGTCATTTTGATGTTTCAAATTGATCATTTACCGACTATTCATAACGTCTCGAGTTGACGTTTTTATGATGTAAAAGTGAGGGTCTAATGTCACAAATTCTTGACGTCATGACTTGTACCGCATTTTGTCGTCATAAAATGTATCATATTTTGACATCTTTTTCTTAGCATAATAATGTAACATTCCATTTTTCATAACGCTCGATTATGTGTGAGAATAATAAGGAAAAAATAAAGCCAAATGTGCTATATTCCTTCCATTCCCAAATAGTTTATAATTCAAATTCCATATAACAAACTGATATGTTTCCAACATTCTAGTTAGTCTTTATTTACGGCGAGTATTTCTCCACACGTAAGAATAAGATCATCACAAAATATTTTATACAATATATCTTTTTATTTTACAAAAAATTGTCGTATACACTTTAAGAAATCGTTACAATTGTTATCATATCGAGAATATATTTATAATGTTATATAAATATATATGCATGTAATGCATGTATGTAGATTTTGAAAAAATGGAGGAATAAGGGAACGAAGCACGCCAAAAAAGACGTATTTTTCTAAAATTATCAAAAAAAATGTGAGGGAGAATTAATTAATTAATCGCTTCTCGCGCCGAATTGCAATGATAATCATATTCTGTAAATTTTTATAATGGATTCTGTAAATGTTTTTATCAATCGGATAAAAAAAAATGTTTATATTTAAAAATTCTCATATTTAAGGCGCAATTTTTGTGACAAATAAGTAAATTTGCGTACGACAGTTATTAAGACGAAGATGGTTTATTGATATGTTTATAAACGAACGGAGCAAGTCTATTAAAAATCAAGATGAAACGAAAAGAGAAACTATGCCATCGAAATTAAAAATTTTTTATTTGAGGACAGTTCATCTGGCTAATTTTCTAGGAAAAGATGTCGGATATTACATTAATTTTAAGATTTCGTGTGAGAGATAAATTTGCTCGATGACACGATCTGACTATGTTTAAGCATGCGTAGATGGTACAATTCATTAATATCAATAGTGTTGTATAAATCAATTTTAATGATAATAGAACAAGAGATTCGCTGTTACTAATGTTGTTTATTAAGTTGGCGTGTTAATTATTTGCGCAAGAAGGATGAATAATATAATATTACGAATATAATGACAAATATGTCCATATTATTGTGTCTCATATATTCATTTTAATTCCCCAAACATACATATAATATAGCATTTTAATTCCCCAAACATACATAAAATATACGTATAATAAAGCCAATCGTAACTGTGTAATATTATGTAAACAAAGCTTAATAGCGTATAATTTAGAGAGAAAAGAATTAAATAATCGATAAATTAAAAGTATAGTCAGACGTTTTTCCTAAGAAAAAAAATTATGCTGATAATTACGTACTGGCATTCAAGATTCAAGAAAATTTTGCAAATACAAAACGATAATCATCGGATATATTATCAAAGCGATTACAAATTCGCTAACGATAGAATGCATCATCTATACTCTTGCATCAATCCAGAAGATTCTCAAAGTTATATGACTGTACTAAGAATATTCTATAATTCGATCTTGTTTTCTATATCGTTGAGTTTATTCTTGATCATATCTATCTCGGATGACATTTTACCCATCTCAGATGACATTTTACCTATCTCGGATGAAATTTTACCTATATCGGATGAAATTTTAATCAATAATCCTTGATGTCAGAGGAGTCATTGGAGACAGATTGTATTGAGCTGGCAACATCGTCCTCTTGTAAGTGTAAATACTCGTCCTGAGTATTGTGAAAGAATGATGTATCAACTCTCGGTGAAGGAATTGCGCATGTCTGTTTTCTTGCCTGTATAATTGAAAATAAATTTCTTAGATTTTCTCTATCATATATATGTACATACAATGATCACATTTAATAAATATCGCGATGCCGCTGCGCGATATTTATCTTTAATGCAATATCAAAATATTTTTGATAAATTTGATGCAGAGTTAATATATATGTTTATGAAAGAATTTGATACTATGTAATAGATTATTATCTAATATACATGGTTCCATTTCTAAAAACGCACCTCAATAATTCTTCAACGAAGCATTTTCAGCAAAAATGTTTCGGACAAAAATTGTATGATTTCAAGAAGGACATAAGATGATGTCATTAATTTGACCTTGAATAGTTACGAAAAACAGTTAATTTCGAGAAAATATATGTAACTGTTAATTGTAAATTACATATTTTTTCTCCGAAACAATTATGTATTTTCTTTACACCAATCGCTTTCTCTCATTATTTTGTGCATAAAAGTATTAAGGTAAGATAATCGAAAAATCAATTTTTTACAAAATATTTTACGGTTTATGTAAAATTAAGAAATTACTTCAAGCCTCATAACTCCGAAAGTATTTAATGAAGAATATTTCATTATAGTGTTTTGGAAAGCTCTCGAGATGAGCTGCAAGAATATGCAATAAAAATTAGACGGTTCCATTTAAAAAATTGAAGATGACCTTTACGTGACCTTCAAGTAACCATTCGAGATCAAAATAATGACACCATCTTATGTCCCTCTTAAAACCATACAACTTTTGTCTAAAACATTTTTGTTGAAAATGCTTTGTTGAAAAATTAACGAGATGCGTTTTTTAAAATGGTATACCCTGTATACATTGTAAAATAATATTAACAAAATCATGTTCGACAAATGCTAAATAAAAATAATAACTTTATTATATTTAAAAGTATGTTTATATTTAAAAATATGTAATTATAGAAAAAAAATTTAATGTGCATTATAAAGATACTTCAATATTAAATTAATGATATTAATGCGGAAACTCATTCGATTAAATGAAAAAGTTTTATTTAATATTGAAATCTTACTTGTTGCAACGATTTATCTAATGAACTTGATCTTTTTCTTTTTTTTTGGTGATAGAGATTTGCAAAGTCGTGCAGGAGGTGACTGCGTTGGCATTCTACTGGAACTTTCATATGATGACAGACTAGATGATCCTGGAAATACAATCTCAGAAGATTCTACAATGCATGAGAAAAGGTTTACAGTCGTAATCATTGTTAAATCGCAGTAAGCATTGATGCATACTTAAAAAACTGCATAACTGTTGTGGACTGTTGTGGTCTCTAATATTTGAAATTTTTGCGATTGGCGATTTTTCCATAAATCCGTGAAGAGAAAGATAAAAGACATTCCCATCTCCCTTCGTTGGACACTTCCACAAATTATGATATCTAGTATATCTAGTATACGGTGATGTTAAGTTTATCTCAGACCATTTGCGCGGCTGTGGGAACAATATTATTTGAAAAAAGAATTAAAAGAGAATAATTAGTTATAACGAATTAAATATATAGAACATTTACAAATTGTACAGGTGCTTCACATCCCTTTGGCTCTATCTTTAAACTTTCGTTACGTAGATAATTGTCTACTTTCATCTGACATATTAGGATCAAAAAGACCAATATTTTTAATATATTGTTTTATTTTAGACTCCACAGAAAGACAATAAGGATGATTTTGGTACAGCGGTATTTCACCAATTATTTCTGCCACTTTTCGCCATTTATTAAAATTGATAAGGTCCCGTGTTTTCCGGTAAGAAGTCTGGATTTCCTTCTTCAATATGCAGAATATTAATCAAATATGGATCTAAGAATGCAGAAAAAAAATTCGATTAAATGAGAAAGTTTTATTTTAAATAACAAAAATTTTCAGTTATTGCTGAAGTCTTAGAAATTATAAAGAAAAATAGAAAAAAAGAAAGAAGAAACGAGAAAAAGGAAAAATACATCTTAACACAATGTTTAAAGAATAGTAGTAATATATTTTATATTATAATTGTGCAATGTGAAAAATGTTTTTTCTGAATTTATTATTTATCAGACAATTTTTTACAAACTAAGAGAGAGAGAGAGAGAGAGAGAGAGAGAGAGAGAGAAATATGTTTAAATAACTGATTAAGTCATACACATATACATATATTAAGACTATACCTTGATAACACGAATTCTATTGTAAAGAATTGAAACAAGAAATTAATGTAATTAGAGCAACTAAATATTTAACATTTTAAAAATAACTCACATTCTATTATTTTGTTGATTCATGTAAGTTCTGAATCCTCCATTTTCAGATAAAAGTCCCATAAATTTCATATTCAGAGTGTAAAATCCTAACGATAAATTGTACGGGAAAGAAATAATAGTTATACATGTTTCATTGTTATAGATAAATTCATCAGTGCTATGGGCGAAAGCTTCTTCTTCATTTTCTTTAGATATTTGTGCATCGTTTGTTACCCTAACTCGAGTTATAGTTAGATTTTCTGTGTAAACGTATATATTTTACGTTTCATAAGGAATATAAATGCTGACATTGTATTCGCCATGAAAGACATCTGATATTTAGTACAAAGTTGATGTTATAATGTTGCGGATATAATATGTCGAGTTTCGATATGGACATATATTCAATAATAAAAAGAGCCGCCGCGATAATGAATATTAGACTACAACTTAACACTTTTAGGAATGCCATGCCACTTGTTTCTTTTCAAATTTCTTTTCAAATTTTTTTCTATCTATATCAATTGATCTTAATATTCTGGGAATCTATCAAGAAATAATAACGGAATTTTTTTATTAAACATGCATACAAGGTGAAATATTTTTTATCTACTTTAACTATTTTTTTTGTCTTTGTAAGGTTTTTTTAGAGGGATTTATAAATTTTCAAACTCTGCGAATGCTGTTATTTATCACCATTTTTTTCACGAAATGTATATACTCTATTGAGTCTATACTCTATATAATCTATTGAGTCAATAGTAATCACTTAAGAAAATAATATAGCATATAAGGGTTGGAATAAAAAAATTATCTCAACATTGATAATATTTAAATTAGCAAAAAGAAAAGATGGTGCCAACAGTACATGGTGTTCCCAAGCGGTCACCCATCTAAGTACTGACCATGCCCAACGTTGCTTAACTTCAGTGATCGGACGAGAACTGGTGTTTTACAACGTGATATGACCGTTGGCGATAATGAGTTATTTGGTTGTCAAAGATATAGTTTTTGAATTTTTACAACGCATTTTGTAAATTATTATACATATTAAATGCAATTATTTATAAATTTTCAAAGGTTGCGAATGCTGTTATTTATAATCATTTTTCATGAAATATACAATCTATTGACTCACTAGTAGTAATCACATACGAAAATAATGTAGCATATGTGGGTTGGAATAAAAAAACCTCTAAAAAAAAACCTTACAAAAGTAAAAAAAAACACACCAAGTACATAAAAATTATTCTACTTTGTGCATGTATAATAAAAAAATTCCTTAAAAATAATTTACAGTAATTTTCCCTCAAAAAATCATTTTTCTGAAAAACAAAACCTCAACAAATAATTTTCATAAAAAAATATTAAAAAATAAAATATCAAAACTATATATGAAACCAATAATTTACTATTAGCCAAGTACTTAAGAGCAATTTGTAAATTTGATATAATATTTGCTATAATATTAATTTTATTCTCTAGAAATATTATACATAAATTCTCCCTAAGAAATTAAAACGCATTTTATATTTATTCAGAGAAAATTGATGTTTAATATATTTAATGAAAATTAGGTTTCTTTTCTTTCTTAAAACATTTTTATATAATGTATATAATTTAGAAAGGGAGCTTTATGCAAATTTTAAATCACAGTCTTTAAATCAAAGTAAGTTATGAAAACTTGGCGTGCCTGGATTGTTTACATCATAAACAAATATATCTCAATAAAATGTAAAATATTGGACGTTATGTAATTAAATATTTAATCTGTATTTGATTATGATGATCCGGGCGTGCCAGGTATTCATAAATTACTTTTATACTTATTTTAAAGATTACGATTTAAAACTTGCGTAAAATTTTTTTTTAATTATATACATTATATAAGTTTTAAGAATTAAAAGAATCCTAATTTTCATTAAATATTTTAAACATCAATTTTTCTCTGAATAAATATAAAACGCGTTTTAAATTCTTAGGAAGAATTTATGTATAATATTTCTACAGTATAAAATTGATATATCATGGCAAATATTATATCAAATTTACAAATTGCTCTTAAGTACTTGGCTAATAGTAATTATAATATTGATTTTATATTTAGTTTTGATATTTTATTTTTTAATATTTTTTGATGAAAATTATTTGTTAAGCTTTTGTTTTTTAGAAAAATGATTTTTTAAGGGAAATTACTGTAAATTATTTTTAAAGAATTTTTTTATTAAACATGCATACAAGGTAAAATATTTTTTATATACTTGGCGTATTTTTTTTTTATCTTTGTAAGTTTTTTTTATAATCATATTTAGAATGTAACGTAAAGATGATAAAAATAAGTATAAAATTTTAAAATCGCATATCTCAGGTACGAAGAGGAACCTTTACAAAATTCAAATGATGTTACTTAGGAATGTATCCTCTACAATATATTTGAAAATAAAAATCTTTCGAGCTGTGTAACTTAAAGTAAACATTTACCAAAATTACTTTCAGAATCATAGTAATCAGGTTTAATAAGCGTTTTATTAGTCAACAAACACAATATTTAACTAAAGTCAACTATTAGTCAACAAACACAATATTTAACTAAATTAATCGCCGCATATATTTGATTTCGAAAGTAATTATTTTTGAAAAATCATTTTAGAGCAATCAAGAAATTGTATTTCATACTTTCTCTTCCTTATACGCAAGCAATTCATTGCCTCTTAATTTATTGATTAAATATTGTAAACCCTTTTTATATATTAAATATCTAAAATTAATATACTTTCTTATTATATAAGTAGATTAAAAGATAGGTTTCGAAAGAAGTATTCAACTGACATGAATTTGGCAATACGTTGTGTAATAAATATTATATAGAATAATATTTATTATATAATTATATAATAACATTTTTTTTATATTCCATAAATGATAAAATATTCCAGTAAAAATGTGAATAAATGAAATATATCGTTTTTAGGTAATCAGTTTTTAAATTTATCATGATTTAACACATTATGTATTTCACCCAAATTTTTATATTATATAGCTATAGTGATAAATTTTTTTTAATTACTGCTACTATTGTGTATGAAAAAGAGATAATATATAAAAAATATTACATAATATTTTAAATATTATCTTTTGTTAAAGAAATCTAACCTTAAGATAAAATAATCATAATTTTTTAGTACATATTATTTTAGTAAATGCAATATATAATATTAATTTAATTTGATTAAATTTAATCACATTGATATAATTTGATAAAAAATTTCTGATTTTAAGTTAAATTTAAATTCATTTCTAAGATAATATAATAATACACGCACATGTGAAATTAAAATCTTTTTCCTCTACTAGGTATCTTTATAAAGATAACAATTTTGAGAAAAATGATCATCTCTAAAGAAAAATGCTATGTTGGTTATGTATATATGTTAAGATTATTTGAATTGTCCTCGACATATCTAATGTACACATTTTATTTTTTTAAAAGCGGTTAAATACCCTGCCTTGTTATAACTCACCTCGTATATTATGATGTCAGCTTATCACAATTTAGTTCTTTAATAATAATTAAGATTATAATTAACTCTTTATTACTATAAATTATTATTAATATTGGAAATATATCTATATTAATTCTCTCTTTCTCTCTCTCTCTCTTGCCGTTCTGAGATACTATTACCGAGAAATGCCAACGTTCGACAAGCGATATCATAATAAGCATGTTATGAAACTTTGAAATTCAAAATAATATAAAACCAGACTAATATGTGTCTTATCAGTTAATAATCGCAATAAAATGCTAATATATGATTAAATCAACTTTCTGTTTGATATATTTAATTAATTATTTTTAAAATGCATTTTATAGCAAATAAAAATTTGTATTTTCCCCATATTTTTACCCTCTCCTTATAAGCAATAATCCATCGCCGTTTGTATCTTAATTTATTAGCTCTAATTGTAGATTTATGGTCTTCAATGTGCAAAATATTTTATAAATACAATAAAAATAGATAAAAAGGAAAACTAGATAAAATTAAATTTTACAAAATTATATCATAAAATATACATTATATAATTTCATAGTTTAGCGTAAGTATTACGTAAATGGTAAAATATTATACTAGTAAAAAAATGTGTGCAAGAAAAGCTGTAACGTTTTCAGATAATTTATAATTTAAATTTTTCAAATTTATCAGGTTTTTTACACACACACACACACACACACATACACAAGTTTTTATACATATATGCAATTATTTTATACTATTATACGAATCCTAAAAGCGCTATAGACTCAAAGCTTTTATAATTTCAATATAATTTTAATTCTTAATCTTTTAAAGATATTTTAGTTTAAAATTTTTTTAGTATTGATATCATATGAATCATAATTAACTTATTTAAAAAATGTTCGATTTTCGACATTACAATAGAACTTTAGAAGCGTCAGATCAGTTTGCGAATTAAGGGAATAATTTATTACGTTAAAAAGTCTTGGTATTAATCGAAAGAATTAAAACATGTACTTGTTAGTTGTAAGCTTTGAATAGAGAAAACAATATTATTTGTTTTATCATTTGTTTAATCTGGTAACAAAACTGTACATTTGATCTAATAAATTCGATAAAGAAATGTTGCGATCAATTTTAATCTAATCCAATATAAACCTTTTAATTTTTGTTTCTAATTTAACGTTTAATCTATGTATCTATCTTTGTTATATTTAACGTTTAATCTATGTAATTATATTGATGATTGAGTTTTCTCCGGTATATTAATAATTTATTATCAGAGGACAGTGCGTATATGATGTAATAAAATAGTCGTAACACTTCTATGAACGTTGTGTTTAAATGTGTTAGACATAGCTATAATACAAGATAATAGCTCTATAATATGTACGGAAAGTTTTGTAATAATAATCAAGAAGAAGAGAGAAATATTAATTTATATATTCCATAATAGATTAGATGAGAGAATAAAGCTAATGTGCTGTACTCCTGCATTAGGTAGTCTGTAATTTAAGCTCCTAAAATAAAAACTGACTTCAATACTGACAAACTGATTTCAATATTCTTATTTTTAATTATTATAACTTACACTTCTTAAGGCTAAGGTAAAAGTTAGTACGAGGTGTTTTACACAATATATCTTTTTATTTTACATAATGCCATATTTTTTCCTAGAAATTATTACAATCGCTATTATATAGAGAATATATTTATAATATACATGTGTATATATTATACATACACTTCCTTTCTTGGTATTGATTCCATTGATTCCATTTATGTATAATTAGCATTTGTATATTTATTTCGATACACATCACTTTCTTACGTCGATTACTTTAAAATCTAATGTTTCTATAATTACATTAAAATATTGTTTTTATGTTCAAACTATATCACAGTTATGTTTGTGGGAAAAAGACAAGGATTTAAAAAAAAAAGCCGTTCAAATAATCGAAATTAAAACATAGTCCATTCAGTAAGAATTATGAAATACGCAGTAAACACAAGCTCTGTTAACTATAACAAATGATAAACGATAAGGATGATAATAATAATGATCGAATTATCAAAATGTATCGAGTCGTTTAACCCTTTGCACTTTACAGATTTTCGCGTAATGTTTGTTGTATTCATGCTGCTACATAAATTGTTTGTTTTATTTATGTATTATTAATTTTTTAAGTGTACGTGTGTATATATACACATATACACATTCTACATTTTTATTTGCATCTATAAAAAAATAATATTATATTTATATTTATATAGAATTGACATTTTTACCGACGTATCAATTGTTCCTCTCGTACAAAATTTTGGAAATATATAAAATAGAAATTGTACATAAAAATTAAAATATAAATATTTTATCGAATATTATAATATATCAAAATAAAATATTCAGGATTAAAAAATATTTTTTAATAAAGTAATTTTATATTTTGTTGATTTTTATATAATAGTTTTAATATTATATATATATATATATATATATATATATATATATATCATAATAAAATTATTATATAAATTAATTAAATTTTAATACATATATATATATATATATATAATATATATATATAATATATATATATATAAATATATATATATATATATATATATATATATATATTATGCATATTTATGACAAAACAACATGACTCATAATAAAAATATGGCACATATTTTTATACAATTAATAATAATAATTAAACCAAAACAAATCACGACAATAGTTGACGATAGATGAACAGATAATGAATTTAAACAAATACAATTTATTTATGAACAATGCTTGTCTCTATAATTTTATTTAAATTACATAAGATTTTATTTTATTTATTTATTTTGATTTATTTTATTTTTCATTTCTAAGTTTCTAATATTGGCACCAAAAGTGTCAAGTTCAAGACCAATTAGAAAAGCACAAAGGATTGATAAATTCTTGATACATTTGACCATTTAATAGTAGAATCTTTCTAGTTTAACTCTGATAACTTTGATTTCCCTCCAAATGAGCTGATACTGAGATATCGTGCTTTCTAATGTATAACTTTTATATTATAATAGGTGACTTAGATGATGGTGTATGATGTAATAAAATAATCATAACATTTCCATAAATATATAATAATAGTTCAAAATACTTTGATCAATAAGAAATGATCCCAAATGATTCCAAAGTTACATCAGTCTAACAATTTCTCGTGAATACATTATTGAGTCATTTTTGATTGATTAGGCAATAATATAATATATTGACACCATTATGCAATGTTACACTTATTTCTTTACATCATAACCATAATCTTACATGAAAATCTTATGCAGATGCATAAACAATTTCAAAAATGGATCATTGGATAGTAGCAGATAACATACTGAAATAAGTCTTTCATATAACAAAATTCAATGGCTTGCAGTAAAAATAAATAATCGCAAAATATCCTCTCGATTCATTTTAAGAATCATCGTTAGCCAATCGGGATACACTGTAAGAAATATAAATGTCTTGTAGTTATAAAGCTATCATTTTCCAAATAATAAACAAAAGAATGGCACAAACCCAGCATAAATGCACATACTTGTAACAATCATTTATCCGTGGTAGAGGCACGTGATTTATCTGTATATGGCATTGTTTTTAATCAACAAATAATCGCTAAAAGATACAATATTTGTATACTAGAAAAAAATATGAAATACGAATGGTTGAATTGAGAATCGAATTCGAGTCTTCACCCGCATTACTTGAAAATTTGTTCCAGTATGTTACATAATCATGTAACATATATTACATGGGATACTTTTAAATATTGTTTAAATTCACATAGCCCTTACAGTATACATGTTCTAATAATTCTCTATATTCCCAAAGTTATCGGAGTTCTACTATATTATGGAGTGTTGCTATAAATTCATAATTCATATCTTTAACTATAGAAGTATGAACTGTCTGAATATTCTCATTACAATATAATACTATGATTGATTGAATATGGTTGGGAATGTATTGGTTATGAATCTATAAAATGTGATTATTCTACGTAATAGATAGGCAATATTATCTATTCTAAATTCAATATTCAAGTTGGCAGTAGAAACAAAATTTTATGTAATATAATAAAATTATGCAATGAGAGAAATTTATTGACAAATAAATTATTGAAAAATAAGTTCTTCCCATTTAAACTCACTATCTGTATTCTGTCATCTGTATATGCTTTGTACTATCGTCATAATTTATTTTTGTTTAATTATCATTATGTTATTATATGCTGTATTTTTATTTATCGGGAATAATGCCAAATAATTGTCATATGTGTGTGTGTGTGTGTGTGTGTGTGTGTGTGTGTGTGTGTGTGTGTGTGTGTGTGTGGTGTGTGTGTGTGGTGTGTGTGTGTGTGTGTGTGTGTGTGTGTGTGTGTGTGTGTGTGTGTGTGTGTGTGTGTGTGTGTGTGTGTGTGTGTGTGTGTGTGTGTGTGTGTGTGTAATATCGTGTAAAATAAAACTATTATTTTATATCTATATTTAGATGCCATAACTTTTAAGTAATAATGTTGTTATGATAACGATAGTATAATTAAAAATTATAAAATAAAAATACAGATAAATGATTTAAAATAGAAGAATCTTGCATATTTATGAAATTGTAATCATATTTCAAACTTGCAAATAATACTTATAAGCTACAGACAAACTGTGTCCAGTAGTATACATCATAACATAATTGCTTTCAACAGAATTATCTAACACAGCCGATAGCTAAGTAAAGATATTTAAAATATAATTGAATGAAAGTTCTGTTGCCCATAAAATACGAGTTTGTATACTCTGTTTGTAATAAAATCACATCATACCACCATCAACCAAAGGAATAATGCAAGAATTAAAATGTCGCAATTTGGATATTTTCAACATATTCGAATATAAAAACAGCTCTAAAAGCCTCTGTAGTTGACAGATCTCTAATTCCCAACCTTATCCTGTCTCTTAAAAGCTTGATAAATATTTTTTTATACTAGTTAAGATGAACAGAATTTTTTAAAAAATTATTTACAATTTTACATTTAGAATTTATCATATATGTATACACATAAATTGATGGGATATAATTTTATTTTACAACAAAAGCATAGCTTTATTTAAATATTTAAATTTACCAGTCTTTGGTTGATGGAGCCTAAAAAATACCGATAAAAGACGTCAACATCGTCATGAGTGGAAAACGTACTGATAATACATACTTCTATAGTCGAAGATAAATATTCTATTCAACTTATCAATTTGTGTTGGAACCTTTTTTTAACTTATACGGCAAGAAAGATTTCAGCTTTATTTAGCTTACTGAACGGATTATAAACCTCGATTAAAAATATTTATTTTCAAGATAAAAAAATGTAAAAAGTGAAAGTGAAAGAGAAAGAGAGAGAGAAAGAGAAATAGAGTAACACTTAACTAGGTCCAGGAGGGGTATTGAAATTAAACATGGTAGAGGGTGGACGTTCTGGTAAACTCGGTTTTGGTGGTAACCTCGGTGTCACTGATCCTGAAATACAATAATTAAAATCAAATTATGCACGAATTTGTAAACGAGAAAAATTGATAAATGGCGTTATTTTACCGTTAGGCTGCGTCGGTGCAGGTTTCGTGGGGCTAGGGCCATTGAAAGACATATGTCTCCGTTGATGAACGACGTTAGCGAGACATGTGCTTTCTAATGTGGAATTTCGACGCGCTAATAATGTCGAATTGCTAGAATTTAGCATCGATGGAAGTCGCGGCGGTATGTCTCTTCGTGGTGGTAAGGGGGGTGGGGATATATCATCTCTCGGTGGAAGAACTGGTGCGTTTGGCGCTTGTCTTACCTATGTTTGTTTGAAACTAAATTTCTTAGACTTTCTCCATCAATAATGTATAATAATGTATTTATAATGATTACTTATTTTTAATGAATTTCGCAATGCATATATACTTATCTTTGCATGTTGAAATATCTTAAATAAATTTGATGCAAAATTAATAATATCTATATTTATCAAAGAATCCGATACTGTATAATACACTATCTGTGTACTATATATTATCCAATGATATTAACAAAATCATATTTGACAAATGCTAAATAAAAAATAATAACTTGATTATATTTAAAAGTATGTTTCTATAGAAATAAAATTTGAATTTGTACCTCATTATATAAAGATACTTCAGTATTGAATTAGCTATTAATTAATGCGAAAACTCATTAAATTAAACCTTTACTTAATCTTAAAATCTTACTTGTTGCGATGATTCACTAAATGAACTTTCTCGCCTTCTTCCGCATCTAGGTGGTAGAGGTGGTGGAAGTTGGCTAGGGGGTATGTTACCAGGAGATGGTGGCGTTGGTATTCCACTGGGACTTCCACTTGACGATACAGCACTCACTATGCTGGGATTAAAGCCAAAGTGAGTAATTTGTTGCGTAGCAGGAAAATGTCCAGGAGATCCCAGTTGCGGGCTGCTACTTGACGAAGCAATCGAAAGCCCCGACATACTAGGTGGACTAGGTGATCCTGGAGGTACAGTTCCAGAAGGTCCTACAATGAGCAAGGAAAGATTTAATAATCGCAATCATTATTAAATCCAGCAGATCTAATCTTGTAAAAAAAAATTTCTGAAAATTTTCTGATTTTTGTTCAAAATTCAAAATAGATAAAGAAAATATTTTAGATTTCTACAATTTGCTAAAATAATTTTTTTTATTTTATGCGTTTTCTAGTGTTTTTCAATCATGTGAAAAAAAATAGAGAGCTCCTGAAGTTTCAACTGTTAGATTTGTAAATGTATCGAAAGAAACTAAATAACTTTAAGATGAGCATTTTTACATAAGACTTGACATAAGACTTTCATTTTTTATCACTAAACATTATAAATATGCACCTTAATATTTTGATAAGACATATATATATATATATATATATATATATATATATATATATATAGACTTGACATAAGACTTTCATTTTTTATCACTAAACATTATAAATATGCACCTTAATATTTTGATAAGATATATATATATACGAGGTGTCCAAAAAGTCCCGGACCGATCGAATATTTCATAAACTATGCACTTTAGAAAGAAATGTTTCAGACAAAAGTTGTATGGCTTAAAGGGGGCCATCAGATAATGGCAATGATTTGACATGGGAGAGTCATTTGAAAGTCACGTGAAGATCACCGTTAATTTCTTAAATAGAACTCCCTACTTTTTATTACATTTGTATAGCTTATCTCGAGAGCTTTCCAAAACACTATAATTAAATATTTCTTCATTGAGTACTTTTCGAGTTATGAGGCTTAAAATTATTTCTTCATTTTACTTAATTTTACTTAATTTTATTTCTTAATTTTAATTTCTTAATAAACCGTAAAATATCTTGTAAAATATTCATTTTTCGATTATCTTACCTTAATAATTTTATGTACAAAATAATGAGAGGAATCAATTGGTGTAAAAAAAAAACATAGTTGTTTTTAACAAAAATATATGTAATTTGCAATTAACAATTACATATTTTTTTTAAAACAACTATGTGTTTTCTTTACACCAATTGATTCCTTTCATTATTTTGTACATAAAATTATTAAGGTAAGATAATCGAAAAATGAATATTTTACTAGATATTTTATGGTTTATGCAAAATTAAGAAATGATTTCAAGCCTCATAACTCGAAAAGTACTCAATGAAGAAATACTTTATTATAGTGTTTTGGAAAGCTCTCGAGATAAGCTACTTGAATATGTAATAAAAAATAGGAGTTCCATTTAAGAAATTGACGGTAATTTCCACGTGACTTTCAAATGACTTTCCCATGTCAAATCATTGCCACTATCTGATGGTCCCCTTCAAGCCGTATAACTTTTGTCTGAAACATTTCTTTCTAAAGTGCATAGTTTATGAAATATTCGACCAGTCCGAGACTTTTAAGACACCCTGTATGTATATATATATATATATATATATATATATATATATATAAGGAAATATATATTTATGATATATTTTAAACACATAATTCACACACACTCAGTTTGTTTATAATATAAAAACAAAATTATATCATAATATATATCATAATTATATTTATATATTATAAAAGAGAATTTTTTTAATTTCTGAATGAATCCTACATTATCATAAAATTCTACGAGAATCCTCAGATTTTTCAAAACATCTTACAAAAAAATCTCTAAGAATTTTAGATTTTCCACGTTTTTCCAAGAAATAAACACCTTGTCAAAATTTAAATACTAATGTATACCTAATAAGACAGGTGCAAAAACGCTGTGGTCCCCTATGTGCGGAACTGTAACTTGTGATGCGTGTGGCGGTGTTTCCGGTAATTCGAGAGGCGGAGGAGCTTCTGACGGAGGATCATGCAATCTTACGCTGGACGCTACCGTTTGCAATGGAGCTGGCAATTTTCCGCTCAAACTTCTACTAGCTTTAATTCCCGGCGATTTCAAGTTTATCTCGGGCCATTTACGTGGCTGTTATAAGTAATAATATATGAAAAAACTGGGAAAGAATAAATTAATTATATGGAATTAATTATATAAAACGCTTACGAATCGTGCAGGTGCTTTACATTTCCTGGGCTCTATCTCTAAACTTTTGCTATACAGATAATTGCCTATATTTGCGTCTGACATGTTAGGGTCAAAAGGACACATATTTTCAATATATTGTCTTATTTTAGATTCCACTGAAAGACAATAGGGTTGATTTTGATACTGTTGTATTTCACCAGTTATTTCTGCCACTTTTCGCCGTTTACTAAAATTAATAAGTTCCGGACTTCCTGGTAAATAGTCTGGATTTCCCTCTTCAATATGCAGAATATTAGTCAAGTACATACCTAAAATTATATGAAAAGAGAGATTTAAATTTAATTCTTCTCATAATTATAAAAGAATCATCACTTTGTAATACTTACCTAAGAATGGTACACAAGGTGGATTGATAGATCGTAATTTTTCTTGATACTTTCGAAAGTGATCGTTATTAAGCTCTCGAGCTTCTTCCAAAGCTTTTTCTAATCGTGTTGGTAATGGCTGTGAAAACAAACACACATTAGGAGGAAAATGGACATAAAAGGATCTTGAAAGATAAGCGTGAACATATGTATATACAAATAAAAAATAAAAATAAATCATACATACTTGGCACTTAAAGCTTTTTTTAATTTTGCGAATTTTGCCAAATTTGTGGTTTTTTTTGCTTATTATACGTACTTGAAACGTAAATTTTAGCCTAAAAACGGAAGCCGATCCCATAGCGCTGACAATCGCCAGGACGCCATTAAAATTGTTGAGATCCTGTAGCACCATCATTATTTCAATTGCACGTGATACGATGGCTACTCTCTCGTCGTAGTTTTGAGCCTCCACTATTATTTTCTCCAGCCATCTTGTGAACTATCAAGAATGTAAAATCCAAGTTAATACTTAATATCATAAACTTCATATTTTTGCGATAATTTGAAACACAAAAATTTACATTTGTCGTATGTTTAATCATTTTCATTAAATTCGGTGACGTCTTCTCCTTGTCTTTTTTTGTCCATACTGATCCAACTAATTCGGAAGGCTTTACTACTCTGTACAGTTCAAACTCCAATAGTGTTAATTGTCTCGCTAATTCGATAGGATGTATCTACAATTGACAGATTATTTCTCAATTGAGATTCAATGATTCGATTGATGATTCAATGATGAGAACTTCCTGAATATATTTCCTTAAATAAATCAACATAATTGAAAGATATCCTGTATGTATACCGTAAGTATTCCAGACTCTTCATTATTTTCTGGAATTTTAATAGAATTTTCAATCGGTGGAGGGGATCGCTCAAAACTAAATGTAATAGGTCGTTGTTCCGATGGTTCGCATTTTCTTTGAACAATTTTTAGTACTGAATCAACCCATTTCCGCATAGACTTGCCACTAACTGTATCTAAAAATAATTGCAATCTTTCCAAAAGATTCCTGTCACGTTCAAAATCGTAAAAGTGATGATCCACCTAATGGGAAACATTAAGAAAAAAAAGATAGTGTTTTAAGAATTGCATTGGAATTCATGACAAATGGGAAAAATATATTACTAACCCAATGTCTTAAAACATTCAAAACTCTAAACTGCACTGGCTGACAGAATTCTTTTCTGTATCTTTTCCAATCTTCTCTCGCAGTTGTTTTACATACAGAAGGTTTTTCTTCTTCACCATAGACTAATGACGGGTCTGGTATATCAAATCTTTCTATTAGTAATGTTAATAATTCTTGAGGTGAGCAAAAACTTCTGTAAAATAAATTGTTGAAAATGAACAATTTATTACTATATATTTGTTTGTAATATATGTGTCTGCAATGCTGTAATTTACCTGTAAGTAGTAAGGAATGTTCTTACAAAAGCAGGATCAGCATATATATGATAAGTCAATCTCTCCACTAATTTGATCAAAGTTGCACCCTTAATCAATGGAACGCCACCATTTTCTCTGGCCTCTAGAACAATGTTCTCCTTGCTATCTTGTTCAGCAAATTTATACAAGTGAGCAGGAGGAAGTCTTAGTGGATGTTTCCTTTCTTCATCCAAAAGAATACTATCCAAAGTCCTTTCTAACATACTTTTTGTATTCAACATAACTAAATCTGCCATCCAATTATTTTTATCCTCAACAGATTTGGCAACAAGAATAACATTAGGATGATCTCTTGGTGCAATCTCGAAAGCATTTTTCAATTCTGCAAACATTTGCATTGCACGAAAATTTGACACAAAATTGCGGTAAAGTTGGAATATATATTTTTTACCTTCAGTATCTTCTCTATCAATAATATCAACTTTCCTGATAAAAAACCTTTCCTTCAATCGGAGTTCGCCTTGGTGAGTAGTATGTCCACCTCCGACTGCAACAATACCAGCTGCAACGGTAACGCTAACTCTTTTACTACTATTTGGTTTGCACAATACTAGTAACCCATCGAATAATAAGGCTTTTCTTTCGGTTAATCTTCGCCCATTACTAGCCACTTTACCCAATGTATCTTCTATAAAAATTAACGATATATATATATATATATATATATATATATATATATATATACATTAACAAGAAGATAATGATATCAAGATACATAATAAGAGAATATTTTATTTTTCATTACCTCTAATAAACTCATTGCAACACTGCCCGATATCCCTTTGATCCCAGCCATCTACAGTCTTTTGTATTTCGCTAATCTTTTCTAATGCCGCTTGTCTCCTCGCTCTGCTTTGCATTGGCAAGCCTGTGTCCTTTTTCGGTAGACTTGCCATTGATTGCATCAATTCCATTTGTAATGGCCTTAATAAACCTTGTACTTGTTCCAGAGTTTCGCCATCCTCTATGCTAGGTGTGCGTTTGTGTAAAACCTATGATTTATTAAGAAAGATAGAAAGTATTGAAAAATTGTCTCAAAAATATGCACAAAGAATCTTGTATATATATATATATATATATATATATATATATATATATATATATACAGGGTGTTTCAGACCACCCATACCACCCATACCACCCATTTAAAAACTAGAGAAATGGTTATTTTAAAAAAGTAAAAACATTTTATTTATAAATCGGGTGCACTCTATCGAATATGGTGATATTTTCAACTTCTGGTTCCGGCCGAAAATAGGCGATTCAGACCAGAAGTGCGTTTTTTTAAATGGAACCCCCTATTTTTCAATGCATATTCTTGTAGCTTACCTCGAGAGCTTTCCAAAACACTATAAATTATTCTTCCATGAAGTACTTTTCGAGTTATGAGGCTTGAAATCATTTCTTAATTTTACATAAACCGTAAAATATTTTGTAAAATATTCATTTTTCGATTATCTTATCTTAATACTTTTATGTACAAAATAATGAGAGGAATCAATTTGTGTAAAGAAAACATACAGTTGTTTTCAAGGAGAAATATGGAATTGTTAATTGCAAGTTACATATTTTTTTCTTAGAAACAACTGTATGTTTTCTTTACACCAATTGATTCCTCTCATTATCTTGTACATAAAAGTATTAAGATAAGATAATCGAAAAATGAATATTTTATGGTTTATGTAAAATTAAGAAATGATTCCAAGCCTCATAACTCGAAAAGTACTTCGTGGAAAAATAATTTATTATAGTGTTTTGGAAAGCTCTCGAGGTAAGCTACAAGAATATGCATTGAAAATAGAGTTCCATTTAAAAAAACGCACTTTCGGTCTGAATCGCCTATTTCCGACCGGAACCAGAAGTTGAAAATATCACCATTTGATAGAACGCACCCGATTTATAAAGAAAATGTTTTTACTTTTTTGAAATAACCACTTCTCTAGTTTTTAAATGGGTGGTACAGGTGGTCTGAAACATCCTGTATACAACAAGTGAAACCTTAATACCTTTATGTAATCAAAATATAGGAAGCAATGCCATATAGGCTGCAATAAAAGTTTTGGCAAATAATATTTAACAGCTTCTCTAAAACCATGGCCCGCCGCCCGCAAAGCCGTGTTAGCTTCCGGTCTTGACAGTAAATTCGTTAAAGCTTCCCGACTAGCTGGGCTATTAATATCTCTCGCGTATCTAAAGAGATACAGCGTAATTAGTAAGAAATTTATATGCATATGTGTGCGCGAAACGTGATACATACTTTACGTAAACATCGAATTCTGCCGCTTCTGCTAATTCTTCAAAGCATGAACCAACTGTAGGCGTTTGTTTCTCCTCTGCAATTTCCATTATATCTTCTAAACTGCCCAGTAATGTCACAGTAATCTCATAAATATCTGTAATATTACTGAAGAGTGTTTCGAGTTCGCTCTTATCTTGCGTCAACTTAGCAATTTCCTCACGAAATACCTAATAATGTAAATTTAAGTTAATTTAATTAACTTCTTCAAATAAAAAATATATCTTTTTTTATATATTACCTTGATAATCATATGCAAGTCACGAATATAATGCCGTTCATCATGAATGAGATCTCGCACAGATTCTTCATAAGTCTGGGAAACAACTGCACCCAAGGTACTTTGCGGACCTTCCGTACAATCGTCTTGATAAAACATATCCATCAGTACCTGTCAATAAATTACATATCATATTACAAATAATATTACAAATAATATTACAGATATTACAAATAATAATCTCTAATATTTCTGCATCTTTAAACATTTAGATTAAAAGAGAAAAAAAGAAATAACAAATAGAATAATTAATAATCAGAGTTAACAATTTTCCACTTATGACAAAATTAGTCGCCTCAGCATGTAAGACTAAAGATTAAAAGAAACAATTATTAAAATTTCTTCTCATAATATGTATCATAAATAATAAATATTACAACACTTTATTGATCTACAATTCACATATTATTGAATGCATTCTACTATTATAAATAGTACAATGTAACGTAAAACAGTAATTATACATACATGATTTATATTATGTTGCATTTATTATTTATATTAAATTATATTTTTATAAATAAAAGAGAAATATATATGTTTTGCACTTGCAAAGTGAACTATGCAACTTGCAGGAATTACACATTTCTTATAGTCAGTGAAAAAAAATGGTAATGGAGTAAAAAAAGCTTATCGAAGGTCTAGCTTTCTAACTTGTAACATTAGTGTTGACATTATATAGCATTGATATAAATAGTTTGCAGATATTATACAAGAAAAATATTTTAATAACCAATTCTTTAAAGATATAATACATTACTAGAACACACAGACAAGAAATATATAATATCATTTGTTTCATAAAACAACCATGTAAGATACAATACTTTAGAATTTTTGTTTAGACTTGTAAATTCTTCTCGAATATATTTTTTCATATTATTAAAAAATAAGCATTTAAATATTTTACTAGTTTGTTTATAAATTATAAAATTATATACTATATTTTACTGATATAAATAATATTATATTCATAATTAGCATTATATTCATCTTACGTTATTTTACAATGTAATAAAAATTACAGTAATTTAATTAAATTTTGATATAAATATTTATTAAAGAAAATTTTCCAACAAGTAATAATTAAAAGAAGACGAAAATTTATAACGAAATATAAATGCAATAAACGCAAATTTTTGTAAAAAAAAATATAAAGGTACAAAAAACTATATATCGTGACATCTTTTTTTGTGCAATCACAAGTACGTACCACCTAGAACAGCATGAGCGAAGAATGAACATGGTTGGAGTTGTTATATATTAGTGGAAAGCATGTAACCAAGCATAGAATATATGCAGCCACAATTAGCCTAGTATAGCCAATTCTGAAATTCATTATTCTATCTGTTGCTAGTAGCAGATGCTTCAAGTTACAGATTATAAAAAAATTTTCCATTTCTTACTAAGTTAATACAAACTGATAGAGAGAGAATTAATGTATTCTCAAATAAATTAGGTAATATATAACAAAAAAAAAAGATTAAGTTGGATCTGTAAACGAGTAATAAGCAAGCCATTACTAGCAAGGCATCATATTTTTCTACTGCATTTATTTTCTATTTAATGCGCGATGTAATATCACGCGATGTATTAATCATTTTCTATACATAAGCTCTTCATGATATATCATTGTACATAAAAGCTTGAAAAATGGTACGTAAAATTTTACGTAAATCAAAGCCTGTATTGGAATTTGTAAAGTATCATACATATAAACTACAGTATTAGTGTCACAATTATAGAGTATATTAACATATGTATACGTTTTGAATAATCTCAAATATATGTACATCGATATACTTGAATCGATTGTTAAAAATGGTATATAAGTGGTAAAAATGGTAAATAAGTGGTAAAATATGAGATACAAAGTGTGCGTTGATCGATTAAAGTGCAATACAGAGATACAACACAGATTGTATGTTTTTATAAACAATGTCTTACCATATCTGCGTACATTGCAACCCGTATATCCTCGCACGAAATCTCTACATGGCGAATATTTTTCACATAATTTCCAGCCAGCTGAAAACGGCAAGAAATAATTTTAATTTTTTTAAATTACACCAAAGAATCAAAGATACTTGAATCAACTTGGATCACCAACCTTCAAGATATCAGCAGAAATATATTCCAAAACTCCGACTACGAATAGGCTAACTTGCGAATCAATTTTGTGCTGTAATACTTCCTGTTAAAAGAAAATTACACGTAATTAATTATATGTAAATATGATTCAATTATTTTATTATTAATAAATTTGACTCAATTATATTATTTTATACACAATTTTCAGATATAAGACTGTATACTTAATAAATTGCATACAAATGTATAAATTAATCGTAACATACGTATAGATATGTACTTTTTGTAGCAACTGATGAATCTTGTCGACAGGTAGGACTAACGGCGACTTTTTTTTCCCTTTCTCTAATATATCCTTTGCATCACGTAGCGCCCATCTGTCAATGGGAGTAGGAAACGTTCGTCTTACTCTTTCCTCTACATCTTGGGGGGTTTGAGGAGGTGGATGTCCACAAAGCATGCCTAGCATTCTTAAAATTAAACTCTCCACATAATCTAACGCATCTTGTCGAGCTTCGAGACTAGGATGTACTTGCTCTAGTACCTACAAAATTAACAATTTTCCTTCGCTATTAATGTAAATAATATCTACCAATCACCAAGCAATTAGTCGATCCCCCTAAAAAAAAATAAAAAAATAGAGATACGCTTATATCGTAAAATTCATTTTCAATGTGAAACAAATTTGGAATATATCGTCAGGCAACATTACTGTCGATCCTCCTCAAAAAAAAAATAAATTTAATAAATTTAATTTAAAAAATTAAATAAATTAAATAAATTAAAAAGATAAAAAAATAGAGATACGCTTATATCGTAAAATTAATTAACAACGTAAAATAAATTTGGAATATATCGACAGGCAACATTACTGTCGATCCTCCTAAAAAAAAAATAAATTTAATAAATTTAATAAAAAAAATTAATTAAATAAATTAAAAAGATAAAAAAATAGAGATACGCTTATATTGTAAAATTAATTAACAACGTGAAACAAATTTGGAATATATCGTGAGGCAACATTACTGTCGATCCTCCTAAAAAAAAGAAAAAAATAAATTTAATAAATTTAATAAATAAAAAAAATTAATTAAATTAATTAAATAAAAAAAAATAAAAAAATAGAGGTACGCTTATATCGTAAAATTAATTAAAAAATTAATTAATGCGAAGCAAACTTGGAGCATATCGTCGAGCGACTTGACAATCATACATAGTGTATGTGGTTGAAAGTATCTATATCTGAGTACGATCGCCGAATTTGACACACAAATAAGCGTAATTGAAAAATCATATGGTGGTCACGCACGCAGCAATGACGTCGGTCGGTGTCATTGATCGATCCGGCCCCGACGTAAGTAAAATCATCGGAACGAAAAATGATCGAGCGTTCGAGCGAACGAGAAAAAAAAGGGGGGAAAAAGAAAGAGAGAAAGAAGGAGAAGCGGGGATGAACTGGAGGGGATAGAACGGGATGGCAGAAGACGAGAAAGAGAAATATATAAGAAAGAGAGAGAGAGAGAGAGAGACAGGGATCAAAAGTGGACGAAACAAAAGAGGAAATCGTGCAGGACGACGACGATGTACCTTGCGCAGTGAATTGACAAACACTCCCTTCCACTTGACAGCGTTCTCCTCTTTCTGGAAGTCGTAGCCTGGCGGCTCGCCCACCACCGACACCGGCGACGAAAACATCGTGCCCGGGGAATCACGCACATGTACCCCCGTAATATACTCGGCACTCGCGCTTCTATCTTACGAGAGGATCCTAGGAAGAGCTATGCAAAGTCCAATGAAGTTTCCAAGGGGAATTGCTCCGTTTCATTTCTCGGAGCAACTTCTCTGTCCCGTGCTCTCTCTCTCTCTCTCTCTCTCCCTCGCTCCTTCTCCCTCTCGTTCTCTCTCTCTCTCTCTCTGAACGTTCGATAGCTCAAACCGCCCGATTGTACTCCGATCTCGCGCTGATTGCTCTCGGCAGCGTCACCAAGACCGGGCCGAGCGAGCCAAGGATCCGAGGACTCCGATGCATCTTCGCGAACAAGCACGACCTTCGCTCCCTCGATCTGCCTCCGTTGGAATTCACGACGAGCAGCAGCGGCCAATATCGCCAACGGCCATTGCGCCACTCTAGTAGTCTCAGCCTCGCGCGAGCATTCGCCCCACTTCCTCCCCCGCCACGTCCCGATTGGACCCTAGACCCGTCTTCTCGCCTCGCCCCGCCTCGTCTAGTTAAATCGTCCCGCCTGTCGTCCAGTCACATCGCTCTCGATCGAGCTAAACTCGAACCTAGGGCGATCGAAGGTCGACCTACGGGTTTCGAGAGAATCGATGCGATACCTCGCAGATTCGAATTTGAATCGCAATCAATTCGAAGATTGGAATTACGACATTGGAGAAATTTTCACTTTTTCTCGGCCGATTACTTGATCTTCAATCTTGGTCTCTTTTATGCGTAGTCTGAACTTTACACTTATTTGCGCGCGTGCGTTTTTTAGTCTATTCCATTAATTCTGTAGATAAATGGAGGAAAGCGTCGTATACTTTGAAAGGAGGATTTTTATTGGCGGCTTAATTTAGCGCAAATCGATAAAGAAAAAGCAGAGAAATAAGCATTAATGCGCATAATATGTTTCTGATATAACTTATTAAATATATATAAAATTGATTGGTTTCTACGTGTGTGTACGTGTAATATAATTTATTAATTGATTAATATAAATATTAATTAATATAATTAATATTAAAATATATATTAATTAATTAACATAATTAGTAATATAAATGAATTAACATAAATATGAGTTGTTTTATTATTTTAATTATGCTCCCCATTCTTATACACATGCATAAGTCTTTTTCGTTTTTTCTTTTTTTCTGTCTAAAAATATAAGAATTATTTTCATAATAAAAGATTATTATTTATACAAAAAATTTAAGAGATATATGAGTCTATCTTTTTCTTTCTCTTCATCTTTTTATTTTTTTTTAATTTACTGCCAAGTTAGCAAAATCACTGGCATAAATTAAAGGGAAAATAATAATGATGTAATTGACTTGTGTTGATTTGTATTACTAAGAAGCTAATTAAAAAGCATTAAATATAATGAAAAGTATTGTCATCTTTATATATAGGAAAAAAGTATCCCCAAAAATACAACCGATTATACTTTGCTTTGTAAACACACATTATTGGAGTAGTTTTACGAATTTTCGTGTCATTGATATAATAAACAACGAAGGAAAATTTAAGACAAATAAAATTAAAGCTCCTAAAATGGCAATTGGATATTTTTATTTATACCATTTCTATAGATTATATTCCTCTAATCTTTTTTCGATTTTTACAAATTTATAGTAAGTTAATTTTTGATTATTAATTAAAATAATCATTGATTTGTTAAGGAGTAAGGAATTGCATTTAATCAAAATTCTTTTTATAAAACAATTTTTAATACCATTTATCATAACTACATAATTTATTATAACTACATAATTTTTACTACAAAAATTTCTAATCATTTTAAGAATTTATTATAAGCAATTTTCTTATAATCATTTAATATGTATAATTATATATATAATTTATATATATAATTTTCTTATAATCATTTAATATATAAATTTAATATATAATCATTTAATATATATTTGTTAAATAATGTATCTATAAATAAATAAATAATGAATAATTTATCTCTATTTTGTCTTAAGAATACGAATGAATTGAATAGAATATTATACTCGTCAGTATTTTGGTGATTTTTTACAATGAGTTTAATGAGTCTATAGAATCGTAGTAATATTTTTCTCATGATCACGTCGCTTTATGATGTATAATCTTCGCTACCGTAGTTCCACGATTGATTACTACTTGATTACTAAGCGATCGAAACGATGCGATGTTCAAAGAGTGTTCCTTGCACGTGCCAGGCTCATCCCTTGTGATAAAACGCATGCTATCATCAGATAGTTCCATAGCGGTTCAGAGCGGTTTACTCAACTGAAAATAAAAATAAAAAAGATTAAATTTCTTTCGACGAAGATATAAATTAGCATAATTGGCGCGATTTTTACTCGAAAATATCATTTTTCAAGATTACTCGAAAAATTACTCGAAAAATTCATTTTTCAAGATTTGACTCCCTCCTTCTCTTAATTAATTTTTGCATTTCACAATATGTATTCAAAATTTTATTTCATTAATATATATATTAATATATATATATATATATATATATATATATTAATGTGGGTCACCCTATATATATATATATATATATATATATATATATATATATATGTATAGCGTGACCCAGACTTAACGAATCAGCCATTAATGGTAGATTCCTGAGATCATTTGAAAACGAAAATCTTAATACCAAAATGTTGAGGAAGATGTAGTTTCGGCGCTATGAAAGATTAAAGACTATCAATCGGCGCGTTTCGTTCTCCTATGCTCAGGAACAAGGTGCAACGAGCCCGCATACAACGCGATAATATCGATATCATTAGAAGGATCAATATAAAATAAAAAATAGGATTCTACAGTGAGCGCGATTGTGTCTTCGATGCGACAGTAGTCAGTAGTTTGAACATTTTTATGAAGTCTTCCTCAACATTTTGGTATTAAAATTTTCGTCTCCGAATGATCTCAGGAATCTGCTATTAACGAATGATTTGTTAAGTCTGAGACACTTTGTATATATATATATATAATTTTCTACGCAAGAATAAAATTTTTCTGTTTAAAATAATCCAAAGATTATATCCTTATCAATTAATCGCACATACGCAGTAGAAACTGTCGATGACGCTGGCGTATATATGTATTAGTTTGAGCTTTTTCTCGATTATGCATCTTAAAACGTAATCGGGGTCGATTACTTCTTTTGATGTAAATCGAAATTGCGAAATATCGCGACGATAAAAAGCAAGATGGCACGTTCCAACGGCCAGAGGACTTATCGCGACTTAGCTGATACAGTGATAGCCTCGCGTCACTTTTAGATTTATGGTAATATCAACTTCGCTTTCTCGAATTTATGACCTACGCAATTGCGTGCTTATCGAAAAGCGCGAAAAAGCTTATCAGGAAGATATTATCGTCGCTCTTCGTCGCCCTTGAACATTCTTCCGCCGATCATTGCCAATCGATGCAATTGGATGACGAAAATTAATGCAGCTTGCGAGATGCTGTTAATAATCGAAAGACGAAACACACACTCACCTAACCAGAGGATACGCAGGGTCCCCGCCGCGTTTCAATTTTTTGACATGATGGATGGACACTGGAATTTGAGCCGCGAAACGCTTTCGTCGACCACTGTAAGATTGGTTACAAGAGAGTTTTTTTTAGAAAAAAAGATCAATTATCGGTTTATATAAAAAAAAGTATGTATAAGTTATTTTGAAAGTTAAAAAGGAGAAAAATTTACATTAAAAAATCTTATCATATATTTTATAGCGACTCTTATTTTCATAATTTTTCTTACATTTTTACTGGATCTAATTGCCAGGTTGGACCATTTTCGTCTGTCACGTTTAGCGACCGTTTGCCGGTGATTCTCGACAAGCTCACAAGTGTCTCCAACTCTGCTCGTCTTTGATCCGATAGCCGTTTTTGTCGTCTGCGAAAAAGCGGCGAGTTAGACGGATTAATTCAACAAAGTCGAATTTATCTCTCAAGAACGAGAAAACTTCAACTCGACTCACGATTTAACCGGAAATGAGTAGCTTCCTTGCGCGAGCGATGAGATTGCTTTTGGTTCGTAGCTCGAGAAGTCTGCCAAGTTTGAGCCACGTGACTCCAACATGCTCAATCTATTGCAAAATAATAATTACAAAAATGAGATATCGAGTGAAATAGCTGATATTTGAAGAAATCGAAAAATGTCCGGCTTTTTTTTATTTGAAACATAAATTTTTAAGACACGTGTCTCTTATATCGCGATATAATTGATAATATTTATCCCGACGAGCCAATGTTATCGTTAATATGATGTAATAACGTTAAAATGTGGCTAATAATGCTCTAATGTAACTCATATGCGGAGAAAACGTAAAACGGAAAATCACGTTGTTAAAGCGGAAACTTGTCGCAAAAATTGATATTGACTTCGCTTGATATTTTTCTATAAAATTGATCGATATTATTATAATTTCCAAAAAAAAGAATTGTTGAAAAGTAATATTTACCCGTTCTCGTCGACCGTAGGACGCCCATCGATAAATCTCGCCAGTATAAGTGCCACGAGGACGCAGATCGCTATCAATGAATATCCCATTTTTAATTTTTTTTTATTACTAAAGAGAAATTTAAACGCGTGAAAAGAAAGAATAAGCGTCTTTGAAAAAAAAAACAGAACAAATTTACACAGAGATTAATACAATCTTCAAAAGTTCCCTCGCTTCGTTCGTTGTATGTAAACTATTAAGTCGGAGTAACGGTCGTCATCGCATATATAGGGTGACGATATCCTTATCCCCTCCTCTAACAAGTATCAACGCATTTGCATTCGCTACTTTGTATCGTTTCCATTTGTCAATATCTGTCAATTAGTTCTTCACAACAAATATAACGCACATTTGCTTAATAATTTCGTGAAAACTCGCTTGATTGCTCGCCTAGTCTCTTCTTGCAGGTGATCCAACCACAATAGATTCGACAAAGCGATCATTAAAAATCGTACAAACGGTTTGCCGAAAAAAGAAACTACTGAAAATATCGAATCAAATTATTTTGGATATAATAATTTTTCGAATTTCTCATTCTTATCTTCGCAGAAGGAAAATCTTACAAATAGAAAACTCATATAACAGCAAAATTTATCATTGACGTCGTTAAATTTCATCTCTAAAGTGATCAGAAAAAATCGCAATCGTGCTCGTGCGCTTTTACGCCTCGCACAATTCTCTACTTTTTCTTAGATTTATTTATATAAATATATATAAAAATATATTCTTATAATATTCGTTCTTTCAACTGAAATGTTACAGCAACAACAGTCTACAAAAAGGGCCCTGCAAATGGTACATTTTCTTTGTTTTAACAAAAAACGTGTTTAATAATTGCGAATTTTCTAGTTTAATCCGGTATATTTCCAATATTATCCGCATATTTTTCTTTTTCTACAAACTGAGAAAACAACGATACAAGATGTTCATTTTACGATTTACTTCGATATAATATATAATTAATTCACAATCAGTAAATTTTTGTTGAGAAATATGCCAAATTCGGCCATTTCGCAGAAGCAGAAAAATGAACTTCTGACCTCATTTTGATATAAAACTTTGAGTGGGCAGAGATAATATAATTTATGTGCTATATATCCGGTAATTCTTTATTTTTTACGTCTTTCTTTTATACGACACCGTTTGTTCAAATTATATTATAAGAGAATTATAACAAATTCGGTTTCAAAAAAATTGTAGCAATTAATCAAGTCCTAATTTAAGTAATATAATATTTAGGAAATATAATTTAAATAATTATTATATTAATTTAAATAATTATTATAATTATTATAACAATTATTATTTTTATAAACTCTGTTGCCTTCTTTTAATAAATTACAATATCATAAAATCTTATTAATATATGCATATATATATATATATATATATATATATATATATATATTCATTTTTGATTTTGTACTTCAACCGCGGGATTTTATTATATACGTATTAGCATTAGATAAATCATGCAATGCCATTACGAAACTGCTCCAATGTTACGCTGTATGCGAATATAATTTTAATATTTTCGCGAATTATCGCCTTTATTTATTATTTTTGCGATATCTCTTGAAATCCCTTATTAATGTATGTTTTTTTTATTTTATGCTCTAATCGCAAAGCTTCGTTGTACCATCAACACCATCAGACTAATCACGCAACATGCTTCATTATTACGAAATCATTCTAGAACGCGTTACGCTTCTTCATTTTTATATCTTACTTCCGGCATCGATTTTATTATATTTCGATCGTTAAATCTTTATCGCGCGCGACATCCAAGGAAACATGGCTGACGCGCGACTTGGAATATTATATTCGCGATTGAAATATATGTATTATAATACACCTATTAATTCGATGCTTGAAAGGAAAAATGAAGGTTTTATTATACACCCTTTGTATAATACAAATTGACAAGAGCCAATTTGATTATCGTATTTTTTTTCGTCGCAATAAGACACATGCGAAATCGAAGCTGTACATTACATACCGCAATAACGTGATAAAGTTACTAAGCAGTTATTGCATTGAGCAACGGAAATGACGTTTCTGATTAACGCGAATCGTACGGAAAAAAGAGGGGAGAGAGATACACGTATGAATTTCATAATTTATCATATGTCACGCTTCGTGGATCCGAAGGAAATCGGGCGCGCAATCGTCAACGATTGTCATTGGAAGAAAAAAAATGAAAGAAAAAAAAAATTTCAGCGATTACGCGTTGGAGGCGCGTACACGCGTCTAACGTGTAACGTTTCGATTATACGTAACGTTTTGTTTTCGTTATAGATATGATACTGGACCACATGATTCCCCCCTCTTACATCGCGCAACGCATGTCATCCTCGTATTAGTAAATTTGTCGTACGATTTCGTATCTATCGGATAAATATTGGACCACACGCTGACAGGAGGAGCCGAAAAATTGGATCATGTAAACTTGGGATTGTTGTGTTTCTCATTTATTTACAATTGACGGGCGATTAGATTATACTTTTGCAGACTGTACACATCAAATATTTTTTATTTATTATTTATTTTCCTTATGCGCCATATTTATGCCGAATTTCCTTATGGCACGGAACATTGCGACAATATTGCCACAATATAATGTGCTATGTTTAATTTTCAAAATTAATTCCTTTGCTAAATAAATTTTTATCTTTTCCGAGAGATATATATACGCATTATAATAATAATAAATATGTAGACATTGATAATATTTTACGTATAAATTGCGTAGAGCGTTTTCGCCCCTGTCTACAAAGCAAGTAGTACAAAGCACTATTGGTCCGACGGTTTGACAGGTTGGCTGTCTAAAAAGGAAATACGTAATTTATATCGGTTGAATAATTATTGATCGATAAAGTATAAAATATTTGCGGATTAGATAATACTTTCGGTTAATATTTTAAGAATATCAATTTTGATTTCTCCTCACAGAAGAAAAAAGAATGTTTAAAAATGTATCTATTTTCTTAACAAATATATATTAATTTTATATGCAAACACCTCTCTTTTTCCTTTGTACAAATTTATGATAATGTTGAAGAAATTTATTCTTTATCACTTCGATAAAATAATCCATATGAAACACGTGGTATATAACGATGTAACAATGTAAAATTGTACAGAGAAAGAATTCTGTATTTACCGACAGAAAGGTATAATTCTCTTCTCTCTCCACTATGTTTTTGCAGAGGGAGTCGTAATCTAATTTTTCGGAAATTTATTAGCGCCTAATTTCGGCAGCTTTCCATTTCCTTATCCTTTATTTTAAAGATTAAGAAGCTATGCCATTTATTTTCCGATATCAGATATATTCTTTAATAAATCCTAAAATTTAAAAAAAATTCCTCTGAAAAAGTATATCATTTTTTTTTCACGTGTCGTTTGAGACAATTATTCCAAATAAACTTATTTCAATAAACTTTCTTATACTTTGAAGACAAATTTGATATAAAGTTTATATCTGAATGACAAATAACATCACAGAATTACTCATTACATAATAAATCTCCAAACATTCGAACTGTCAAAATCTGTAATGTCTACTATTTAACATATGCAAATCCCAAGAACATTTCTTACGCTTGCATCGGAGAAATAAAGCTGGTCCCACACTGCTGATTCCCCCAGTTTTAATTATCAAACTACAATTTTTCAATTACAAATCCTTATCTGTACAAAATAACCACAACGCATAATCAGTCGATATCGCAAAATGAAAAGATTTTCCAAAATGGGAGGATTGTTTTAAAGCTTTTTATTATAACAATCATGATATTCCGTTCACGAAGTGAACTTGATTCTGTAAAAACAAATAAGAGAAAAGAATAAATTGCACAAATAATGGATTATTTCTTTTTATTGCGTTCACAATTGCATATACATGTTTGTCCAAAGTAATCCGACAACGTGATTAGTAGATGAGAAAGGAAATGAAAATGTCGATGCTTGTGTATACATGTGTGATACTATGAGAATCTCCTATAATTAATTTGTAGTTAATGACTTGTGTGGTCACCTTTCCACATCAAATATGAAAAGAATGTAAATAAATAAATAAATAAATATATAAATAAATAAATAAGTCATAATAAATAAATGTACACATAAAGAGAGAAAAAAGATATCCAAACCGATATAGATCTTTCAAAGCCGCGGACTTTTAGCATTTAAATGCTACTTTTATGAGAATTCGATCCATTTAACTTGTTGCTTATTTACTTATATTACTAAATCAATTTGCAGAATTTTCAAAGTTTGATAATTTCTCCCTTCCTTTCTCTTCTTTTTCCCTCGTTTTCCTTTGTCAAATTATATAATCTAAAAATAATATATCTTTTTTTTGCAATAATAAAGTTATAAAGTTCTAAATCTGTTTTACTTTTGTCTTTTTCAATTTTATTTCTATGGTCTTTTAATGAGAATATGTTTATTTTGAGAACAAAAAGGCCTCTTAAAAACATCTAAAAGATGTCTTTAAGTCATTTTTTAGACATTTTTTTTAGAGACACGTGTTGTTTGGAAATTTTTGTTTGTTCTCAGAAAAGAACATTAATTTATTCAAAAAAGAAATAAAATTGTCAAAACTGTAATACAATTCTATAAAAAGTTAATAAATATCTATGGATAGACATTTCTTCACTTAATTTCCAACTAAAGTTCAAAAACTACATGTGTATCGGTTTTAATATCTTTTCTTTACAAATAAATATTAAGTTTTATAAATAGCAATAGGTAAATATAGTAAGGAACGTAGACTCATGAGACGCGTGCGCGAGTCCAATTAATACTAAAATAATTTCTTTAAATTAAAAACTAATAAAACAAATAAAACTGCCCAGGAAGTTAATTATTTCCTAAGAGGTAATTTCATGTAACAAACACTTCATGTCATTGCTCAATACGTAGTCGCACATCTGCGATTAATCCATCAATAAATAATAATATAGATATGTTTTTTCTTGTCCGACATAAATTCTCAATTTTTACATCAACGTAAAAATAAAGAAAAAAAGGACTGAGAAAGAATCTAATAAAAACTAAATAAGAAAATATGGTCGAACCCGGAATGCAATACACGCCACTCGCATGCGTAAAAGGGCGAGCGAAAAAAGTGTCAAAATCCACTATTAATATTAATTTTGGTCTTTTACAATAATTATTATAAATATCATAAATAATAAGTTACAAAATAATTCACGCGTTGTAACAGAAGAAATATTATATCAGCGATATAAATTCGTTTGCTAAAAGCACAATGAACGTAATTTTGTAAATGAATGTCTGGAAAACCTATTGCATTAAACGAAGAGAGACTTACTAAAATAAGTAAATTTGTAAAATTAACGATTAATTTCTTCTGATAAATATCTTAAAGAAAATTTATGATCTTTTCACGGTAAATGTTATCATGATAGTAAATTATACTATAACAAATCTCATATCTTCGACTTGTATTCTAAAAAAATAAATCGATACGTTATGATCATGTTATATAATAAAATTCATTTTTTGCTTTAGCTTTATTTTATCATTAGATAGAGAATAATTGAAAGTGGTCAAATTTCATGAATCGACGATCAAAATTTATATAAGATCCTGCGTTTTTAGAAAAGTCAAACGACAGATGTTTCTTTTCAAGTCTCTCAATGTCATCGTGAGTAATCGACAAATCACACGAAAAGAAACTGGCGCAATCGAGAAAAGCCAGTTGGAATGACATTGCGCTTTCTCAAGAGAAATTACGTGATCTAAGCGGCTCGCGTCATAATAGTAAACATAGCGGCCGATCAAACAGCCGATGCGGTCGGGGGGAAGATGCTTAAAAATGAAGATATTGCACATTCTTACGAAATTACGAAAAAAATTAATTATTAATCTGAGCGTCTCTAACAAAACGATTAACGCGATCGTGTAAATCAAATCTAAAGAGATTTACTGTCTCGTCGAGAAAATGTACCTTAGAAATTACGCACATTGTCGCGAATACTGAGACGATATATTCACATGTAAAATACTGTTCTCGTTAAGTCTCTTCTCAAATACTTAAATAAGGAACGCAGTCCGGAGACACGATCACGCCCCGTCACCCCATGGATACCGTACTTTGCACGGTAATTTTTTTTGCCGTACGCACTCTCGTCATCTCCCGCTGTTGTCATCTGGTCCATTTACACACGTTACGCGAGTAATTTCTGCTCTTGTTGAGAGTTAATTATTTTCATTTCTTCAGGCGTCAAAAGTCCGTAAAAGGAATCGAAAGCTCGGACGGAAACTGGTCCGTAGTAATGCGTTGTCGACGAATCACGGCTGAGAGATCAATTAAATGCGTATGTGTGTGTGTATGTGTAAGTGTGTATATCCCTTTTAATTGCTCTACTTTCTCTCTCCTTCTCCTCGCTTCCGCCTTTTCCTCCTCTCGGCTTCTAACTTATTCTTGAGTGACGCCGAGCTTCTGAATCGAATCAACCGATAGTTTCTCTTCCTCCCGCGGATCCTCCTTCTGCAATTAGAATAAACGGAAATGAAATTAGTCTCGATTTCGAGACCCGCGACGGCAATTTTCGCTAATGTATTCAAGCTACATGTTATTACATCATCGAGTCGCTATACGCGTAGCTACCTGTTGAATGTCACGAAGTGGCTGTCGACCGATCGCTGATTATTTGACAAGAATGAAACGATAAGGGCAGATAAATCGACCGAGAGAACAGGAATATCATTTGGATTGCATCTCGAAGACATCACGGGTGTCGACAAAATCGTTAATTACACTCTAAAGTTCATTAGGTTTCACAGCAGGCGGCTCGGTCTATCTTTCCTCGTCGTAAAACTATCGCTCGAGCAGACACATGACAAATGATCGGTCGAGGAGGAACGGCCATAGATACGAAATTTGCATTGCGCGACGCTTTATGTATGATACACTTTCCGTATATAAAATATTAGTCGCGGAATATAACACAGCGTAAACGATTCTCGTTCCATAAAATTTATTATCGTTTAATATAATTATTTTTAATATAATTTAGCGAATTAATATTTTTTAATATAATTTTTAATGTAATTTTTTAATAAATTTATATTTTTTTATTTTATAATAATTTTTTAATTTATTTTTTAATATAATTTTTTAAGATAATTTGTTAATATAATTTAGCGAATAACTTTGCAAAACGAGAGGGCATGCACACGTTAATATATTATATGTATATCTTACCCGAGGTAAGGAACGAATTCGATTTAATTGGTCCAGAATTGATTCCGTGATGGATCTTCGCTTACGTCCTCTGGAAAGAACAATAGAATTATGTTCAAACTTGATCGACAATTTAAATATACGAAACGCAATAATTTTTTTTTAAATTGAAGCTTGACGATGTGTGTGTATCTCAAAAATTTGACATTATTTTTTTTTTAACTTTTTGAAGAGGCAAACATTCGAGATGATCACGCTGGACGCTCGTGTGCCGAAAGAAGAGAAAAGATGACGCCTTTTTATGCAATAGTCATGCAATCGCTGAGAATCTATTCAGATCCGACTTTATCTCTAGCAAATAAACGCTATGAATCATGCAAATTATGACGAGTAATTTGTTTATTGAGGCTTAATCAAATGCTTTCCTGATAATGTCGTCATCGATGGAACGCGAAAAAACGTGATATCTCCATTAATCAATAACTAGCGGGAAGGAATATCATCGATACAGATGTAAATCTCTAAATTTCGAGTGTCGCAATTTTTTCCCGCCTATTATTATTCCTGCATTAAAGTTCGAAAAAATCGAAAAATATTTTATTCTTCAAATGGCTAAATTTCTCCCGAAATATATTAGTCTGAAATTTCCTTGGAAAAGCATGCATTGCGTCAGACGATACTTGAATTACTTCACATATTTGATATGTTCTTCCTTACATCTACTTACTTATGCTATCACTTACGCGAACGCGCTACAACATACATTACATTTCAATGATCCACGGAAGATATACGAGAGCGAGAGGAGGGGAAGAATTAATGCAAAGAATTAATCCACTTATTAATTGAGGAATAGTAGAATTACTCGATGTTCACATTCCGTTAATTACAATGTAAGACGGTGTGTTGGCGTCAACTAATTTACTCGTGAAAACAGTCACATCCGATTACGTGAGATCGGGGCCTTTTCAGAGAACACATTTGAATAGAAATTTATTCACGGAATATTCAACGTGAAGTAACCTAGTTAGGGGTACCATCTTCGTTTTTTCTTCACCGGTTGTCTCGATGCAGTTATACTCGTATGTTATTCAGTAGACGCCGTTGCATACGCGCTCGCGCAATTTGTATTCGAAAATACTTCATCTTCCTCTTCTCTCTTTCAGTTCTTTTTATACAAGATCAATAACGAGCGTACGTCGATATCGTCAGAATAGGGATAAGAGTATTAAAATTATTCTTAAAAAATCCTCTTATATATATTTTAGTTATATTATACACTGTATATATTATACACTGTTTTATATTATTAATCTTGAAAATATTTTATTAAGTATATTACTCATTAAAAGCGTTCTTTAGATTACGCGCAATTATTTTTAAATCGTCCGCTATTTTTCCTTTCTTTTTTAATTCTTGTACTCTTTAGCTAAAATAAATGCGGACGATATCAAAAGCTTCAAAGAAATAAAAAAAAACGTATTATATAACGCAATCAATGAAATCTTCGACAATGGCATACATTGTTTCAAATATAATATTTTGCCTATTCATTTTGTTAGAAAAATTATATATAACTATATTTGATTTTTTCAAGAATCTTAGACACACTGTTTATAAAATACTCAAATAATGAATGAAGGCGAAGTTAAATAAATAATTATATATTTTTTAATATATAATTATTTATTTAAATTTGCCTTCATTCATTATTTGAGTCTTCATATTATTTCTTAATATATTTTTAATAATTACTTTAGCATATCATTGACAATAATAACAGTTTCGCGTATCCGTAATGAAATTTATGCAATTTATGGTTAAAAAGAGATATCTTTTATTATAATTTTATGATTAACTTTTTCGCAATTATCATTTAATTGTATCTGCTTAATTGTAGCTACTTTTAGCAATGTGTAAAAGAATAATAAAAAAGTGAATCAAGCGCACAATTTAAATTCTAATATTATCAATGCACATATTATCTTTTTTAAACATTTAGAGAAACACTTACATATAAATATGTGTGTGTGTGTGTGTGTGTATGTGTGTGTGTGTGTGTGTGCGTGCGTGTTAATACTGATATATATCACTATAATAATTATATAATATTATTGTAATATTATTATCTTAATATATATAACATTAATATAATAATATTATAATATCATAATTATTAATAAAATATTAATACAAATGTCTAATTATTATATATATATATATATATATATATATGTGTGTGTGTGTGTGTGTGTGTGTGTGTGTGTGTGTGTATATGTGTAGTTAATTATATGTGTATAGAAGGAGTATATAGTTGAAAAAAAATTTATAAACTAAATTATATCAATTATAGCGACATAAGATGGAAGGTGGACTTACACGACAGCTGGGTCGATTTTTCCGAATGCTACGGGAACCACGACACCCTTCACATTTTGCAGCCCCATCATCGTTTCGAGCTCGGCGAGCCTCTGATCAGAAAGGCGTCTGTACCGACTGCAACAAATTGAAACCCGTTGCCAATTAATCAAATATTCTCAAATATTCTCATGGAGATCATCAACTAGAGAAAAAAAGAGAGCACACGTAATTCTCTTTAGAATTTATTTCAAATTCCTAAACCGCCAACAATCGATTATAATCAGCGACAATTTTAATCTCGATACGTGGAAGATTCATCGCTTTAATAACCATGCTAATCTTACGAGCGACAAAGCTTCAGTTCTGTTCATTATCATTGCATGTTTTAGAAAAGAGAAAAGACCTTCCGCCTCGTGTCAGAAGATTATTTGAATTGCGTTATCATTATTTGATATCTAGATAAAATTACATATTTCATATATTAGATAGCAATTACATCATCTAATAATGGCATTTAAAATTATATTATATTATTTAAAATATTAATAATAAATATTAAGTTATAATAAATTTAATTAATAAATTTCATTAATAAATTTTATTAATAAATATTAATTTATAATATTATATATATATATATATATATTTTTTTTTTTTAATTATTTAAAATTATTATGTATGTTTATACTTAATTATTTATATTATCTTTGAGTCTTAATATTAATATTAATATCTCTTATTTTTAACCTTACAATATTATTCGAAATAAATTGAATTTAGTTTGACGATAAAAGTAACGAATCATTAATGGAGAAAACAATGGTATAATAAATTCCAAATAATAAAAATATTAACAAAATAAAAACAATAGCCGATTTAAGAGCCAATTGCAATGAATTTGCAACGAAAGGAGAAACCGGTGTGTCGCAATAATTTCGCGCGTTGCCTCACCACGTCTTGAAAAGCGCGATTTCTTCTAAAGAGAGATTGTTTAAAGAGCGCGATTTTTCTTTCGAAATCTGACTCGGTCTCTTTAAAATCCATACCTAAGATGAAATTCGGGTGGACCGATGTATGCCGTTTCCGATAGCAACGCTACAACTAGGACGCACAGGATCGTCGCGCTAATCGAAAAATTCATCTTGGCACCCACTACAGTCAATTTAAATAACGGAAAGAAAGAACTACCGCGCAGCTGATCGCCGGTTCACGATCTTGTCACACACTTTCTCTCTCTCCTTCTCTTCTTTTACGCGCGATTTCCCTCAAGAGTTCTCCTCGATAACTTTTTCCCTCTCTTTTTTTTCACTAATTTCCAACTCAATTTTTTTCCACGATTTCTTTCTCTTACGTCGCTTTTGTCTTCTGGTGAACTGTAGCTACTCTCGGCCGCATCGAGCATATATACCCTCCCTATCCCCACCCCTCTAGTTGCTACGACTAGATCGCCCCCACTTTATTAGCGCGGATCCACCCTCTCGGTTTTTATGCGCGATACCTGCACTTGAAATCCTTTTCTCCAGTTCTGCGAATCGAATAATTCCCCTGTAACACAATTGTATTTCTTTACGTGTCATACTTGAGTATATTTAACGTGTCTTAAAATTACATCCGTTTGACAGATTTCTTCTTTTTGGACAAAATCTATGTGATGTATATACCTTTCGAATCTCTCAGAATTTTAATAATTCATATCAAGAATATTTTCCAATTTATACGTGATGATCTTTGTGTTCTTTTATGTTCTTAAAATTGCCAGACTTATGATTACCCAACAGACTCGAAGCAATATCTCGAGCACTTTGAAACTAATTACGATACCGTGTACTTAAAAAAAACTTTAATTACTTTCTTTGTGTAATTATACAAATTAGTTTATCCTACGCGATTCTGCGTCATGTCTTGACATCGCGAGTGATCGCGAGGACAAAGGTCCTGCCTTCAGGATCCGTTATAGCTTTCTGAAGAGACATGACGCTTCTTCTCTGTTATTCTCGACGGCGCAATATTTTTTCAACGACACACACACGAGGATGAGTGATGGAGGATTAATAAAAGCAACAAAGCTACCTCAAGTAAAAAGGAACAATTGTTAGAAATTCTAATACAATGCGTCTTAATAAGATCTGTGAAATTGCGTTAATTTTTTGAATAGACTTTCATTCATTAAACTGTTTATTTTATAATACTTTCTTTTCCGTGTTTCTAGATTTAGAATCTTATCGCGAGACGCAAATAACGACACTGAATAAAATTAACGCGAGTACGCTACTATCGTCGTCATTTTCGTAATTGCAATATCACCCGCTTTATCTCTTTCTGTCTCTCTCTTTCTCGCGCGTTGTTGTTATAATTCGCGTCTTAAGAATGTTTATTTGTCCAAAAACACATGCACTTTTTTGTACATGTATAACCAAACAAATTGTATAATTTGGAAAATATACAGATGCATGATAATCACGTGCCAAAAAAAAATGAATCATTATCGATATGATATCATTGTACGAGGAGTATTTTTCCGATACGTCTACTTATTGCGATTTTTTGCAACTTTGTAATAGTATGAACGAGGCAAAAATTAAAATTTGATACTTAAAAATCATCAAAATAAAAGCCGATAAACACAGCGAAAAAATTATCGAGAAGTTAAAAAAAAAACGTATCTATCTTAAAAACACAAAGTGGAGTAAACATCTCTTACAAAAAAAGACACTCCTCATATAATTATAATATTAATAGTACGTGAATTATTTTAAGCAACAACGAAGAACTGTTTATACGTGGATGGGCATTGTTGACATTTGTTTAACATTATGTAAAAAGATTTCATTTTACCTCGTTGAAAATCCTGATGATCTGCTACAGAAGTAAGATTTTGAGCTGAATGAAAATTTTGTTGCATCTTGCCATTAAAATTCTAAATTAATTTTATAACCAATAAAAATTATATACATATATAAGATTAAATAAAATTTGAAATTTAGTATAATAAATAAATTAAATAAAAATTATATACATAAGATTAAATAAAATTTGAAATTTAGAATAATAAATAAATTAAATAAAAATTATATACATATATAAGATTAAATAAAATTTGAAATTAGAATTTACAATAAAATTACAAAAGATATTTGAATATCCTCATCGAAGATCGTGGTAACTTCAAAACGATTTTTTACGCCAGTTTGTTTCATATACACATACTCTTGCGCATATTGCGGTTGACGCAAACTATGTTACGTAGGGAAATACCTCTTAGATACTGGGAACACTGTAACAAGCGACTTGTGCGATGATGTATTCGTAATCTCTCGAAATCTGTTTGCGGATTCGCGGTTAACAACTTTGACTACTTTCGATGACTGCCAATCTATTTTTAATCCGCCGCGTTAATATTACACATTTTCATATCTCGCTCTCGATTATGCATATCTACCAACTATTAAAACGATATATTATGTACTTCGACCATGATTTGCGTAATGCCTTTATACACACGAGACATATTATGTAATACGTTTGTTGAAAAGAAACTATGCAGAACACTTGTGTGAATATTAATTAGAGATGAGAGATAAACTCTGGGGTATTTTAGCAACAGGAATTTTTCTCCAAGTGAAACTTGATGTAAGAATCACAAAATCTGTGCAATTTTACATCATTGATAGAGTTATACGTCATCAAATTATCAAGTCACGTATAGATTTGTACTCGGAATTTCTGATTATTATCACGATTAGACACAGAAAGCCCCGGGAGAGATAACTGCTATGGCAATTATACAACATCCGTTTTATTCTACTTTTTAAATTTAATAGTAGGTCGCCATACGTTACTTTATCAATTTATCACGTTTGAATCGCAAATACCAACGGGTGACACACAAATTGATACTTATTAAGCGCGTTGACGACTGATTATCGAAACACAGTGTGCGTGGGTTGACATATTTCACGCTAAAATCGATTAAGAGGCGCCAAATATTTCACGCGAAGCGTTAATGATTCATCATAAATTGCTCTTAAATTTATTATAATAGTATTTAATCAGGATATATCTGCGATTTCATAGAACCTATAGAAATCCTTGATGTCGTGGAAATTTGATAGGTATCAAGGTATTGTACGCGCTATTTCAATTAATCTTATTGAACTTTTATCCGTACATAAAAATAAGATCCCTCTGATGTTATATCTCATTCTAATATTAACTTCCTAGAAATCGATTTAAATAGAAAAACTCATCGAAAATCTATTTTTTTATATTTATTTTAAATTTAGCCTTTTTAATATGTATATAAAAAAATCAAGATATCTTTTATAATTTATTTTTCGATAGAAATCAACTATCGAGGATTTTAAGGTACGTCTTTAAATGAAAACAACAACGTTAATTGGAATTATTTTTAATCAAGATTTAATTATAAGAGGGAATTCAATTGAAAAGAAAAAAGAATTAATTTTTTTAATAGAGAAAGAATCTTGTGTATAATATATTAAAAATAAATAACTGAGTTATTGAGTATAATTATTTGAAATATCAATTGAATCGAGATTATTATACAAAAGATTCTTTCTCGTATCACTTTGTAGTCTACTTTACCGTCGCTGTCTTTCTTTTTTCATGTTGCAATGAGTAAGTGGTTTGTTTCCAATGTCAATGGAACGGAAAAAAATCACTCAGTCGTTGCCACCTGAGACTTCAATCTGTACTTTGTCCAAATTCTCGTAAACACATCTGCAAGATAATGTAGGCAAGATAATATTGGCTCGCACGCGATTTAGATTATTTTTGGCATAAATTGCTACAAGTATAACATTTTCGTCAAAAATCTTTTAGCGTCAAAAAATTATGATAAATATACAACACACGTTTTTGTAGCAAGAGTTTTCTATTCATTTTCATAAAATGATGTGTGATTATTTTATGTAATAAAATTATAAAAAATATATACACAATATATACACCATAATTCACTTATCTTAATTTTATACAGATTTTTTGGCCAATTTAAAATTTTACTCGGTGATCAATCAATTATATATAATTTTTATATATAATTTATTTATATATATAATTTTAAATTTCAATTAATATTAATTAAATTTTTAATATAGCAGAAAAAGTGCAATAGATTTAACCTCTATTTGTAAAGATTTTAATCTTTTATTAAAAATTAATATCTGATTAATTTCACTACAAAATGCTAATTTCCCTTCTTCTGAATTAATAATTTTTTTTCATGATTTCACTACACTTATTTTAATTTTTATTACATTTATAATTTTATTTTCTATAATTTTTTTATTTTTTAATAAAATAACTAATCGATATTTACTTCAAGGTTACTTAATAGAAATAATTTAAACTATCTCACCAATGCAAATATCAATAAAATATCGATGAAGAATCAATAAAATTTAACAATATGCATCTTTACAATTAAATCTTACAGACCCCAAAAAAATCTAGACAAATTTTAGAAAAATTGATTATAGAGTGCAACATAATCACTTATTTGTTTCCCAAATTTAATCTACAAGTAACTCTTTTCTTAATTGCATATTAGCATATCAATATTTTATTAGCAATTTATTAGCATATCAATATTTTCGTTGAAGAAAAATAAAACTGAAAATCTACTGATAAAATTAAGAGATGTCGAGTGCTTTGTGATATAATGAATTATTAATTTTCTCATATCAGACTTTTTTGCATGTTATTGTTGTGTCGTGTTGTGTTATATTGTGGATATACATAATCTTTTTAAGGATAAATATAATATTTTTGTATTTTTTCATCTTCCTTTTTCCTCTCTTATTTTAGTTTATATGACACATTGATATATTATGTGGCCAACATGATGACACCCACGTTATATTATACGCGCGTATAATCACGTATGTCGCAAATTTTTGATCGAGTTTATAACTTGATATTTCGGTAGCGAAAACACATATAATGTTTGGAACTGTTTAGCAAACAGAAGATCTTTCGAATAGTTGCGCGTGAAGCCGTCATACCTTATGCAGCGAAATTCGAAGAAACGCTTAATAAAAGATGTGAAACATCGTTTCGGCACTCGGGGAAGGAGGGAAGTTTGTTTAAAGGGTGGACGTAGGCGTAGCTTGTTGAAATCAGAAATGTAGATGTCCTCATATCTATACAATTTACATTCATTCCATTTAATAACAAATTCATCATAAGATTAATAACTAAAAAAGATAGAATTATTACAGTATTATTTTAATCGTAATTGTGTACAAATTTAAATCCGCTATTAGAAATAAACGTATATATGATAATGGAAAATCCATCAGGAAGAAATTTCTATTCATCGATAAACGATCTGTGATCGAAGATATTTGTAATAAATTAACTGTCATGTGTGAATGACACATAAATTAAAGTCAGAGAGAGGAA